AGGAAGGAAGGTCAGGCAATTTGAAGACTGCTAGAAACCGCAAGGAGAAAATGGGTCAGGCAACTAAGCTGTGGGACAGTCTCAAGTAATCTAAACTAAATTCTGAGGGGATGAGGAGGAGGAAAAGATAGAAAAAATACTTGAAACAATAGTCAAACTTCTTTCCATATGCGATTAAAACTATAACTTACAGATCAAAGATAATCAGAACCCCAGGAGTACACAGAAATCTCAAAATCAGGGGCTGGGAAGGTGGCTCAGTGGTAGAGCACTTGCCTTGCATGCCTGAGGCCCTGGGTTTGATGCCTCAGCACCACATAAGCAAAAAAGAAAAAAGCTGAAAGTGGCGCTGTGGCTCAAGTGGTAGAGCGCTAGCCTTGAGCTGAAGAGCTGAGGGACAGCACCCAGGCCCAGAGTTCAGGCCCCACGACCAGACCCAAAAAAAAAAAAACATAATCATATTACTAGAATAAGTCAACAAAAAGGCAGACATTACAGAAAAGGCAGCCACTTTTCTTGGTAGAATGCCTGCCTAATAAGTACAAGGCCCTGAATTCAAGCCCCAGTAACACACACACACACAAAATTATGGGTGGGGGAGGGGAGTACTGAAAGAACTGTCAGGATAAGCCATGCACCAGTGGCTCACGCTTGTAATCCTAGCTACTCAGGAGGCTGAGATCTGAGGAAGGATTGCAGATCAGAGCTAGACCAGGGATGCAAGTCCATGAGACTTTTATCTCCAATTAACTACCAGAAAACCAAAGTGGCTCAAAGTGGTAGACTAGCTGTGAACAAGAGAGCTCAGGGCTAGTGCTCAGACCCCAAGTTCAAGCCCCATGACCAACACCAAACACAAAAAGCCAACAACAGTACAGTTTCAGAGGCTTGGCAGGCTGTTAAGGCAGGACATCATACTGGGAGCAGGGATAAAGGAAGCCTGCTCACCTGGTGGCACTGTGGCTGAGAATGTAGCTTAGTGGTAGAGTGTATTAATATCAGATTTTTTAAAAACTAGAATTGTCATCAAAAGGGCATATAAAAGCATTGATTCATCAGGAAGATATAATCCTAAAAACGCACCCTAAAACAGCTTTTATTTATTTTTTTTGTCGGTCGTGGGGCTTGAACTCTGGGCCTGGGCGCTGTCCCTCAGCTCTTCAGCTCAAGGCGAGGGCTCTACCACTTGAGCTACAGCGCCACTTCCTAAAACAGCTTTTAATAGATAAAACAGAAATAGAACTAAAGCCCCAGGAAGCTCTGGAGAAAGAACAGCGGTGGATCCCATCCTCTGGAATTGCCAGACTGGCCTCGGGCATTACCCAGATCCAAAAGGGCTCCCCCGCCCCCCCCCCCGCCCCTCCCTGGCTCAGTCCTGTGCTTCCTTCCCCCACCACCCCAAACTCCTAGCTGGGGTTTGTGTACATTAATCAACCAGCCTGCCAGGCACTCTATGGGCACCTCCTCTGTTCTGACACCACAGCAGGCTGCTGGGTGGACTGTGGTATGTGTGCAGTAAGGGGGTCCCCTCCTGGCAACCTTGCTGCTCCCATCCTGACAACCTCGCTGTTGCCAAGATAACGCAGCGTGGTGGCGATGGCCTGTGTTTGCTTGCCTGTGGCTCTATCTAAGATCAACATGGCAAGTACAGCCTCAGGAAGAGGTGCTCGTGACTGAGCAGGTAGCTGGTTGTCATGGCTAGAGAATTCCTTTTTGTGGAGCTTCAGGGATGGGGGTAGAGCAAGCCCCCAGGTCTTCTCTGTGGGTTCTGGGTTTCTTTACCAATTCTACCTCCAGTCCCTCCACCTCGGGGCCTAAAGTGGTCAAAGCTCAAGGGGGGGGGGGGGGGGCTGGGGATGTGTGTGCGCGTGTGTGTGCACACGTGCTAGTTCTAGAGCTTGAACCCAGGCCTTCGCAGTCCCTGAGATGTTTTTGCTTAAGGCTAACTACCACGTGAGCCAGAGCTTCACTTCTGGCTTTTTTTTTTTGGTAGTTCACTGAAGAATCTCAGGGAGGGCTGGGAAGGTGGCTCAGTGGTAGAGTGCTTGCCTTGCATGCATGAGGCCCTGGGTTCGATTCCTTAGCACCACATAAGCAGGGGAAAAAAAAAGCTGGAAGTGGCGCTGTAGCTCAAGTGGCAGAGCGCTAGCCTTGAGCTGAAGAGCTGAGGGACAGCGCCCAGGCCCAGAGTTGAGGCCCCATGACTGGACCTAAAAAAAAAAAAAAAAGAATCTCAAGGACTTTCCTGCCTTTGCTGGCTTTAAACCGCGATCCTCCGATCTCAGACTCCTGAGTAGCTGGATCACACGCGTGAGCCACCGGCACCTGGTTAGAGACATCTTGCACAGACAGCCCAGAAAGAAACTGAAGTGCAGCCCCTGGCTGAGGCCCCTTCACCCCGCCTCCTCGGTGGCGCTGGCGTTCCTGGGAGAGGAACGCAGGAGCTGGTTCCAGTGGGCAAGGTGGCATGCAGAAGGCTGGCCAGCCCAGTCCGTGGACACCAGTGGTGCGTCAGACCAGGCAAGGCCCTGGGGTTGTCCTGGTGAGGGACCAGGAAGAGGAGAGAGCCAGGGCCACTGCACAGCAAGGCCAGGCTGCATCTGGGAGCCACCCTGCCCTCCCCTCCCCAGGGCCAGCCCCCCTTCCACGGCTAATGCACAGCTGGAGCGAGTCCTCGTCGCAGGCCGACCCAGCCATGCCTCGAGGTGCCTGACCTCTACTGTGGATTTTTAGTTCCCAAGGAATGCGACTCCGCTGTGGAAAGCAGGCCACCCCCAAGACGGGATTTCTAGATGAAAACAAACAGCAGCCTTTCTATATAAGGACCAGCCAGGCCCTGGGCCCCACATCTGCCAGGAATCCCAGGTAGGCAGGCAGTGTGCGTGTGTATACATGTACGTCTATAGGTTTAGCTTACCGTGTGGCTGCTGGCCATGCGCCTCACTTCTCTGGGCCTCAGCAGGCCCATCTGAGCAGAGGGTCATGGGGCCTCAGGCCTGGCTGCACCAGTCAAAAGCTCGCTTCAGGAGCGCTGACCCTGCTGCTTCAGCTTCTTAATCTCATTAAAAAGTGTGGCGGAGCACCCAGGGCATGGGACAAGGGACTCAGGCCAGAGGGCAGGGGGAAGAGGCTGGGTGAGCTGGAGACCTGGGTGGGTAAGCCTCCAGCACGGGCTAGAAGAGAGCACCCAGCCTGGACCCTCTCCGGCCTCCGTTCTTCCCCCTGGGGATGGGCTCTCAGGCCACTGCCTGGAGATCCTCTCTCTGAAGGGCCATCTGTCCCCACTGCCAGCCAGGGCCGACATGCTCTCTGCAGGGACCGTGTGCAGCCTGCTGCTTCTCAGCGTGCTCTGGGTGGACGTGGCCATGGCAGGCTCCAGCTTCCTGAGCCCCGAGCACCAGAAAGCCCAGGTGAGCCCAAGCCATCTGCCTCCCTACCTCTCAGCACCAGCCCCGGCTCTGGAGCAGCAGCATGCCCTGCCTCCAGCCTTCTCTCAGCAATGGCCTCCAGCTGACGCCATTCTGCTCCCAGCAGAGATGGGCCCAGCTCCCTAAAGAGAACCTCTCTCGTTCCTAGCAGAGAAAGGACTCCAAGAAGCCACCCAGCAAGCTGCAGCCCCGAGCTCTGGAAGGTGGGCTCGGGACAGAGGACAGGGGGCCGGAGGAAGGCGCAGAGGACGAGCTGGAGGTCCGGGTGGGTACTACCGGGCTTGTCTGGGGGGAGAGGGCAGGAGAAGGTGCTTCCAAGCTACTACTAGCACCTCATAGACGAGCGTGCGCGGGGCTTGGCCACACGGACTGGGCCGAAGGCGCCAGGTGGTGCAAAGAAACGGGCAGGAAGGGCAGCTTGGTTTCCTGAGGGCTGTGAAGGCCTGGGCTGGCGGAGTGCTTGGAGACAGGGCCGCTGGGGACATGGCCACAGTTCAGTCTCTTGCCCCAAAGACTATGGGGTGCTTTCCCATCTCCCCAAAGCTATGAGCGCCATCCAACAGGCCACCCAGACTCCCAAGAAACAGGGACAAAGGGAAAAGGGCTGGCACAGAAGGCTTCAGGCAGGTCAGGCCTGTGTGCCAGGGCTGGGCACACACCACCCCAAACCACCCTGCCGGGGCCAGAAGCTGATCCCTGGCGGCATTTGCTTTCCACAATTCCAAAAAGGCAAGAGCTGGGCTCCGCAGCTTTGGCATCACCTCGGGCGGATGCGGCGGGGCCGTGGTGAGCCGTGCGGAGGGAGGCAGGCAGGCAGCGAGCAGCGCCTGCAGGGCAGAGGCCTCGGTCCTGGCTCCTCAGGGACAGAATCCAGGCCGCGTTGGGCCGGGGTGTTTGGAGCGGGGCAGGTGCGATGCTCACGCGTCCCGGGCTCCCGTGCCCCCCGTGCCCTCCTTCCTAGTTCAACGCCCCCTTTGATGTGGGCATCAAGCTGTCAGGAGCACAGTACCAACAACATGGCCGGGCCCTCGGGAAGTTTCTTCAGGACATCCTCTGGGAGGAGGCCAGAGGTGAGCCCTTGTGTGCGTGTGTGTGTGGGGGGGGGGGGGGGGGGGGGTGCGCGGAGTCCAGGTTCATCGTCGTCCCATGAAAATCCAAACGGGAGCTGAGCCTGCTGGTGACTTCTCCCAGCCCCCACTGCCAGAAAGAGCCTCAGCCCCGACTGCCAGAAAGAGCCCCTGCCTCTCACCGCCTCCGCCTCTCACCGCCTCCGCCTCTCACCGCCTCCCGCCTCTCACCGCCTCCGCTTCTCTCCTCTGCCCGGCTGCAGAAGGCGCCAGCAGGCCGGCTCTGCCCAGGCGCGCGCGCGCACGCACGCGCACATGCGGGCGGTGGGGCGGAGCGGACTGGGCTGCTTGTCTTTCAGAGGCCCCAGCAGACGAGTGACACCTGCGCAACGTGCCACTGTTTCCCAGGAGGTGTGGACGGCCACCGCCATGCCACGCCACGCCACGCGCCCACCCAGTGCCCTTTGCTAGCTTACAAATAAATGTTCAGACTGGAAGCCAAAGCTTCAAAGTGGGAGTTTATTTCACCAAGAGGAAATGTTCACATTTTACTTAAAAGCCAGTTTAAAAAGTGGGGGAGAAAACAATCCTGGCTATGGTCATGGGAGAGACGCAGCAGGCCAGGTGTGCAGGCTCCTCGGAGCAGCGGGCCTCCCGAGCACAGCCCGGCGGGGCAACCAGGGGACTTGAGCTTGCCCCCCTCCCCCGCCACCCCACCTGCCCCCTTCTAGCAAAGCCAGGCAAAGCTGGGGCCCTGTGTGGACAAGGTGGCTACCATCCGGGCCCTCGGCGGATGACCTCTATGTCCCAAACATCTCCCCACCTGCAGGGGCCCCCGAGACGGGCCTCGACTCACTGCTGGCCCGTGGTAAGCAGCCATGATGAGAGGGCCCTGTGCTCGGTGCAGGGAGATCCCAAGATGAGCACTCCACTTCTAGTGTGGACAAAAGCGTGCTCAGGCTGGTGCCAGGGGCTCACGCCTGACGTCAGGAGGCTGACATCTGAGGGTCACAGTTCGAATCCAGCTCAGGCAGGAAAGCCCAGGAGACTGTCTCCAACCAGCTACTAAAAAAGCCCGAAGTAGTGCCATGGCATGCAGGAGAGGGCTGGCCTTAAGCACAAAAGCTCAAGGACAGCGTCCAGGCCCTGAGGGCAAGGCCAGGCCTGCCACCACACACACACACACAACAGCTCACTTAGGAAAAACCCAGAGGGTGCCCTCTGTACAGCCAGGCTGGACATTACTTTCTGGAAACTTCACAGGGCCCCAAAGCCAAGCCAGGATTCCCTCCCCTCCAGAAAAATCCCCTCAGCATTAGCACTTGATGACGACTGACACTGATGACACAGGAGCCCTAGATCCCTCGCTAAAGACAACCAGCCCGGTCAGGGCCACTCAGAGACCATGGACAGATGCAGCCAGCAAGGAAGCCCAGACCACAAGTTCCTCAGAAACAGCGAGGCCAGCCGGGCCAGCCACCCAAAGCCAGCCCAGGGCGCTGCCCCTCCTGATGGCGCACACTGCAGGTCTATACCCGAGGGAGCAGAGCAGAGGGGACGCTGTGCATGTCACCAACCCCTGCTATGGCCAGCCTGCGCCGCGGGCCTCACCAGCGGGTGGGCAGGCCTCACGGGGCTACACTCCGGACTATCTGGGTGGCAATAAAGCGCACCGCACCCTCGGCAGTGCCCCGAGTCTGCCATCACTGAGGCACCATGCCAGCTGCCCCACGGGAGATGGGGCAGACACGATGAACAATCGATCGGGGGCACGGTATTTTAGAACATCAAAGCATCTGCCCCTGGAACATACAGCACTGGAACCAGCAGGCCGTCACACACAGATGGCCAGTAGCTGGCCGCCCCACCCTACCCTGACCAGTGCTGTTCCTTTCAGTGCCCGCACTGCCTCGCCGCCACAGGCCTGCAGGGGGCAGTACACCAACACAGCACTGGGCCTCGCACGGAGAGGGGCGCGCCAACACCCTGGGCACAGCGAGGGGGCTAGGAAACAGCCTTCATCTCTGCATGGGAACCAGTATGGCTAAGCAACCCTGTGGGCCGTGGCGGGCACCACCCTGGGAGGGTCACACGGGGATGGTGACACCGGATGAACGGGGGGCTCTGTCTAGTGTTTGAGACAGTGCGGGCCTCGGTGAGCAGGGCTGCCTCCTCCGGGAACTTGGTCCACAAGAAAGCCTCTTCCTCAGAACACAGCCTGTCTCTCGCTGAACCACCAGTGCCCCGTGCGCCTGCACACTGACAGCAGGAAGCCAACAAGCCCAGCAGCTGACCCCGCCCGTCCGGCAGTGCTGGCTTCTGCCGCTGGCCTACAGCGAGCAGCAGGGACATTGGGGAAGCGTGCCAGGGCTGGGGGGACAGACTTCCCTGCAGCGTCCCCTCCAGGAGTGCCCATGAGAACCGAGGCAGACGTGTCACGCATGCTCATCACAGCAGAGGGGACTTTATTCACACCGCTCGCTCACACAGCTGGAGCAGGGGTTCAGTCTGGCCAACTCGGCATCCCCTTCCACTGCACCCTTGTTGGCAGGTGCCCTGGATGGACTGCTGTGCCCAGCAGGCTAAACCTGGTGCTTTTCAGGAGCTGTGTCCCCTCCCACGGCCACGCTAGCACACCCACCCACCAGCGCAACGCTGAAGCCTGGCGCGAGGCTCCTGTGGCTCTGTCCTGACAGGCTCCCGATGCATCCTTGCCCTCCGACCCAGCCCGCGCTGTCAGCTGCTGGTCGCCCTGGAGGGTTTGGAAGAGAAGAGAAGGTGCTGAGCCAGGTTCGCCAGACACAGAACCGGCCTCACCGCCCCAGGCGTGCGTCGTGGCTGTGGCGTGCGCAGGCCTGCTTGTGCGCCCGGCGCCTCCATGCCTCGTGCTGGGACGCCTGCTCAGAGACTGTACAGGCGGCTGGTGTTCTCCCGCAGGATGGCCAGCGTGCGCGACAGCGGCTTCTCCTTCACCCTGGCGATCTCCCGGACCGTGTGCAAGGCCAGGCCTGGGTGGGCATACTGGCAAAGGCTTCTGGGAACCTGGAAGACAGCAAGCACGAAGACCTCCGCTGTACCTCCTTGCACACCCAGCTCCAACACAGAAGGCCCCCGTCCCTTCCCCAGCAAGGACCTCTTTGGGGCTACCCTGTAGAGACCCCTTTACCTGCGGGTGCAGGAAGAGTCCTAGTCATGGGGCTCTGGGTGAGCAGGGTCCCACGCTTCCATGGACTACCCTCTACAGGGTAGGGCTTTGCACTGCCTGGAAGAGAGTGGTTACCCTTCAGCTTCTCAGCCCCCGGGCTTAGTGGTGCAGAACACGGACACATCTACACAGCCCACAGCGGGCCCTGGGAGTCACTGGGCTCGGGCCCTGCCAAGCTTGCCTGGGTGCCCGCCCGCCTACCCGCCAGTAGATCCTGGGTGCCCCGCTAGGCCTGGAGACGCCATACCTGGCGGGGCAGGAAGTAGGGGGCATCCGTCTCCACAATGATCCTCTCCAGCGGGATGCGCTTCACAGCGTCGCGGGCCTCCCAGGCAGAGGCGTAGGTGAGGACGGCCGTGAAGCCCACGGACATGTTAGGGAAGTGCTTCAGCAGCGGCTCGATGACCGGGTAGCTGCCGGTGAAGCAGTGCCTACGGGAGAGCGCAGGTCAGCGCGTGCCCCGGCCCTCCGCAGCCCTACCCCCCAAGAGCACCCCAGCCGGGAAAGCCTGCCTCCGAGCGAAGTCCTCCACAGCAAGCACAGACAGGCCCAAGGTGGCGCACGGAGAGCGGGGCTCCCAGCCCCCCAAAACCGCACAGCACTGGACACCACCACCACTATAAAGAACACGCAAACAGCACAGGGAGGCGCACGACAGGAAAGCAGAGTTAAAGACAGGGCCCCAAGGTCACAACCACAACATGGAGAATTTATGCCTACACAGGCAAACACACTGGGAAAAAAGGAACAAATGAAATACTGGGAAAAGCCGGTCGTGGTGGCACACAGGACTGGTGACCTTGAAGCCAGCTTGGCTATACAGCGCAACTCTGTCTCAAAACACAAAGAAAAAGAAAGGAAAGAATGAAGGAAGGAAGGAGGGGAGGGAAAGAAGGAAGGAAGGAAGGAAGAATCGGGAAAAGGACTGTACGTGCACTTTCCCCGCTCAGTACTTGGGTTTGAACTCAGGGCCTCAAACTTTGCTCGCTCTTAATTGGCGCTCGACCATGCCTCGCCTCCGGCTCAGCATTTTGCTGGCTACCTTGCAGATGAGAGTCTTGTGGACTCTTCTGCCCAGTCTGGCTTCGAACCAAGATCCTCTGGATCTCAGCCAGCCTCCTGAGGAGCTAGGCGCACAGGCGGGGAACCGCAGTGGTGGGCCATCTACTTGCTGGGCCATGCGTACTGTACCACCTGGGAACTCAAGTCCTTCAGCCACACCAGCACCGTGTGCCACCTTACCAGACCTGGCCAACCAAGTGCCGGCCCGGTGAAAGCGTGAGCAACCCACTGGCCAGTCCAGCAGAGCCACCACCCGCCGCCTGCAGCCTGCGTGCCGCCACGCACCTCGGCTCCCAGAAGGGAGCAGCATGATGGCCGGGAGCCTCCTCCTCCCTCCTCTGCCATGACCTGGTTTGGGTTCTGGCTGTTTCTTTTCAGTAGCTCTCCTAGCTTTTTTTTTTTTTCCTTGTCGGTCGTGGGGCCTGAACTCTGGGCCTGGGCGCTGTCCCTCAGCTCTTCAGCTCAAGGCTAGCGCTCTACCACTTGAGCCACAACGCCACTTCTGGCTTTTTCTGCTTATGTGGTGCTGAGGCATGGAACCCAGGGCTTCGTGCATGCCAGGCAAGCGCTCTACCACTGAGCCACCTTCCCGGCCCTCTCCTAGCTTCTTTAAGGACCAAGCCCACAAGTCCCCGGAGGCCTTTCTAGCCACGCCAAGCTCCAAAGTCCCTGCCATCCTCCACATCGACACCATAGGCCTCTGCCACACATGGAACCGCCAGGCCAATGCACTGGGAGCTCGAGAGGGTTACCCCAAGATGCCATTCAGGTCAGACACGTCCCAGACTTTCACACTTACTGGGAAAAGAGAGCTCTCAAATTTAAGAGGAAGGAAGGGCTCTGCAAGGCCTGTGCTCAGTGCTGAAGCCTCGGGCTGGCAGCAGCGCCTCGTGCCGGGAGGAAAGCCGCCTGCTCTTGTGTAACCACAGAGCGTAGGAACTTACTAGGTTTTTGGTTTTTTGGTCCCGTTTCCCCTCCCCCCTGCCACACCACAATGCGTACTGGATTCCGGGCCTTGCACTCGTTAGGCAGACACCGTTCTACTTGAGCCACACCACCAAGCCCTTTTTGCTTTAGTTATGTTGGAAACAGGGTCTTGTATTTTTGTCTAGGCCAACCTGGACTACAGTACTTCTACTCATGCTTCCCTCATAGCTAGAATGACAGGCATGTACTACCACACCTGGGATAAGGTGAGATGGAGCCTAACTTTTCACTTGGGCTGACCTTATACGCAAGCCTTCAGGTCACCAGTCCTGACCATCTAGGATTACACTGAGCCACTGTGCCAGGCCTGAAGTCATCACTTGGTAAACAAAGATAATGTTCTCCTTAGAACTGAATTCTTCCTATTGTTTTCCCACTTGCTGCTGACAGCTTAACACCATTTCCCCTGAAGATGCAGCCTCCTAACCTATGGATTTTGTAGTCAGAGGGCACAAATTTTTTCATGATGTCCAGCAGATCTTCATCAGCTTCTCGGCAATGGATGACCAGGGGTTTCTTCAGAGACACAGCCAGCTGCAGCTGTCTCTCAAACACCTGGGGGGAAGACAAAGTGACAGTTGCAATTGATGACTGGCATTTCAGAAATCCACCTCTGGAACCCCCAGCTGAGTGGGACTCTCCGTTGCCTCCAGTTCAGTTTAAACAACTATGTTGGAATGACTGCGGTCAGCGTGCTGGGCGCGGGTCACTCTGGCCACAGGCCTTACGAGGCGCTGTGTCAGCCTGTCAGCCAGTGAGCGCAGCTGGGGGCCAGACGGGAAGCCACACAGGAACCACTGCTGGTGTGGAGATTTGCCACAGGGATCAAGAACATAAAGTACCAAGTTAATGTTCTTGGGCTCAATGTCCCAGCCTCTACTCTAGAGGAAATCGACCTCTAGCCTCTTCCTAGCCGAGAGCTGCACACAGATACATACATACATAGACAGAGACAGACAGACAGACACAGACACAGACACACACACCCTGTAGCATAAGGCTGGCTTGCAGAAGATAGGTAAACTGCTATAGTTTCCTCATTCTTTGTCCTCTGGCCCCTTTTAACATTTTCGTTATTATTTTGTTGTTGTTGTTGGTCGTGGGACATAAACTCAGGGCTTGGGCTATGCCCCTGAGCTCTTTTACTCAAAGTTAGTGCTCTACCACTCTGAGCCACAGCTTCACTTCCAGTTTTCTGGTGGTTAATTGGAGATAAGAGTTTCACAGATTTAACTTTCCTTGGCTGGCTTCAAACCTCAACCCTTAGATCTCAAGCCTCCTGAGTAGCTAGGGTTATAGGCATTAGCCACTGGCACCCAGCGACATCTTCATTATTAAACACACATATTACTGTATTTGTAATGATATAAAAGAAGTAGGGCTAACCCTGTTCTTGCCAGGTTTAGAATAAAGAACAACGTGCCAGGCATCGGTGGCTCACACCTGTAATCCTAGCTACTCAGGAGGCTGGTATCAGAGGATCAAGGTTCAAAGCTAGCCCAGGCAAGAAAGGCTGTGAAACTCTTTTCTTCCTTTTTTTTGGGGTCCGGTCGTGGGGCCTGAACTCTGGGCCTGGGCACTGTCCCTCAGCTCTTCAGCTCAAGGTAGCACTCTAACACTTGAGCCATAGCGTCACTTCCGGCTTTTTTCTTTTTGCTTATGTGGTGCTGAGGAATCGAACCCAGGGCCTCAGGCATGCAAGGCAAGCGCTCTACCACTGAGCCACCTTCCCAGCCCCCATGAAACTCTTTATCTCCAATCAACTACCAGAAAACTGGAAGTGGTACTGTGGCTCAAGTGGTAGAGTGCTAGCCTTGAGCTGAAGAGCTCAGGCCATGTTCAAGACCCACAACCAACCAAAAAAAAAAAAAAAAAAAGAAAGAAAAGAATAAAGAACAACGTCTATTATGAACAAATTGTATCATCTGAAACCCACATTTCTTAATAGCAGATTTCCTCAATTGTGGAATATGACGCATCAGATAAGATGTGTTTTGGTAATCAGAGTGCAGTGACAGCCACTTAGGCACGTGCTACTTGTTCTCCAATTGGGGTACTAGCCAATACACAAGAGCGCCTGAGCACAGGGCTCCAGGCAGAGCTTGACGTGGTATTTGATTCATTTTTACCTAACACTGAAGACATGCCACCTTTCAGCAAAACTCCAATTTCCATTTCAACTAAGACTGTTAAGGGCTGGGAAGGTGGCTCAGTGGTAGAGTGCTTGCCTTGCAAGCCGGAGGCCCTGGGTTCGATTCCTCAGCACCACATAAGCAAAAAGAAAAAAACCGGAAGTGGCACTGTGGCTTGAGTGGTAGAGTGCTAGCCTTGAGTTGAAGAGCTGAGGGACAGCGCCCAGGCCTAGAGTTCAAGCCCCACGACCGGACCCAAAAAAAAAAAAAAAAAGACTGTTAACTTTTAACTTGTTTTCGGATACCATTTGTTTCTCTTCACAAAATTAAGAGCAGGAAAATATTCAGCAGACTATACAACAACTTAACCACATCAGTAACACAGGCCTGATGGAACTCTGCTACCTCAACTAAACTGAGTAATGCACACAGAAATGCCAAAATTCCCCTCCTCACCCCGCAGCCCGCCCATGTCTGGTTAAAACTACGTGTAATAAATCCCCAAATAAGGGGAGGCTTACTATACCAATTCTGATGCATCTTTTGCTTTAACCTATTTTCAACACAAGGAAACTAAACATAGACATAAATTATTGAATGCTAACAGGTGGGAGCCTGGGTGCATGGCTCAAGTGGTAGAGTTTGCCTACTTTGTTCCAAAGCCCTGGGTTCAATCTCTAGTACCACCAAACAAACACCAGGTAGGCTCTCTATTGTTAGACAAGCTAGATGCCTCCTAGTATAGCCACCAATGCTTAGCTGCCCATACAAACCATCACCATCCCACAGGGACTCAACTGACCACACGAGCTCACTGCCCACAGGAGCAGGAGATGGACAGCCCCCAAGCTATCTTTTTATTTTTTGCCAGTCATGGGCCTTGAACTTAGGGCCTGGGTGCTGTCACTAAGCTCCTTTTTTTGGGGGGGGGGGGGGGGGGTCCGGTCGTGGGGCCTGAACTCTGGGCCTGGGCGCTGTCCCTCAGCTCTTCAGCTCAAGGCTAGCGCTCTACCACTTGAGCCACAGTGCCACTTCCAGCTTTTTTCTTTTTGCTTATGTGGTGCTAAGGAATCGAACCCAGGGCCTCAGCCATGCAAGGCAAGTGCTCTACCACTGAGCCACCTTCCCAGCCCCACTAAGCTCCTTTTATTCAAGGCTAGTACTCAACCACTTGAGCTACAGCAATAGATCTAGCTTTTTCTGTGATTAATTGGAGATGAGTCTCACAGGGGCTGAGAATGTGGCTCAGTGGTAGAGTGCTGGCCTAGCATGCATCAAGCCCTGAGTTTGACTCCTCAATACATCAACAGAAAAGGCTGGAAGCAGCGACAAAAGACATTAAAAAAAAAAAGTCTCCCAGACTTCCCTGTTCACGCCAGCTTCAAACTGTGATTCTTAAGAGTAGCTAGGATTACAGCATGAGCCACCAGCATCTGGCCCAATGCTTATCTTTTAATTAATTATTGTCTTTTAAACAGTTATTCTTTGGGCTGGGAAGGTGGCTCAGTGGTAGAGTGCTTGCCTTGCATGCACAAGGCCCTGGTTTCAATTCCTTAGCACCACATAAGGAGAAAAAGGCGGAAGTAGCACTGTGGCTCAAGCGCTAGCTTTGAGCTGAAGAGCTGAGGGACAGCGCCCAGGCCCAGAGTTCAGGCCCCACAACTGGGGGGGAGGGGGGGAACCAAGCACAGTGACTCATTATCTGTAATCCTAGCTACTCAGGAGACTGAGATCTGAGGATCATGGTTCAAAGCCAGCCCAGGCAGTAAAGTCTGTGAGACTCTTATCTCTAATTAATCACTAGAAAACAGGAAGCGATACTGTAGCTCAAAATGGTTAGAGTGCTACCCTTGAGCTAAATGAGCTCAGGGACATCAATCACCCAGACCCCAAGTTCAAGCACTACAACCAAGAAAAAAAGTTCGTATTTTTCAAAGTACATACAGTTGTTAAAACAGGAAATTTTTTACAAGTAAAAACAAACATTCGAAAGTATTTTTTGTATGTGCTAATCCTAGAAGCTTGAACTCAAGGCCTGGGTGCTGTCCCTGAGCTTTTTTGCTGAAGGCTAGAGCTCTACCACCTGAGTCCATAACTCTCCTTCTGGCTTTTGGTAGCTAACTCAAGGTAAGAGTCTCACAGACTTTCCTGCCTGGCTGGCTTTGAACCACCATCCTCAGATCTCAGAATCTTGAGTAGCTAGGATTACAGGCGTGGGCTACTAGCGTCTAACTTTAATTTTAAGCACACACAGAGCTGAGGGGCCACTCAAGAGATGGCATGCTTGCCCCCTGCAGACCCAAGACCCTGGGCTCTGTCCCAGAGGGAGGTGGGTGGGTGACCATCTCCTTAATCCTGTGACAGGCTGACACAAGCCACAACTGTCCCTTGACGCTTTTCATGGGGACACTAAATAGTAAATACATAATGGCTTTAAAATACACCCCAAATTGCTGATACAAAGAATTCATTAGCATGTACAACTATGGCTGGACTGGAGCAATTGCTCCAGGAAGTGAGGACGCACCAGGACGCTAATCACCCAGCATAATTACTGTCTTAAACCCTATGGTTCCCAGCTGATCCAGTACTTTCAGAGATTCCAGGCGCAGTCTGTCTCTCCTGGGGACACCCTAGATATTTCCTGCATACTTATTGCCTCAGTAACTAATTGCAATCAAAGACAAATAAGAGGCAGATACAGCATCAGTTCAGCTAACCTGGTGGTAGAGGATCCTTCATTCTTCTCGGCTTTTGAACCAAGGGATTCTGGGATTCTGATATTGTTGGCAGTGTGCAACTCATGGCCTTGCATATGTTAAGCGCTGGTTCTACCATGAGCAGGTATACCCCAAATCCCCAAATCTCTCTTTTGTATGTCATGGGGCTTGAACTCCAGGCCTGGGCAATGTCCCTGAGCTCCTTTGCTCAAGGCTAGTGCTCTATCTCTTTAAGCTACAGAACCACTTCCAGATAAAAGAGTCTCAACAGACTTTCCTGCCTAGGCTAGTAGCTACGAACTAAGATCCTCAGAACTCAGCCTTCGGAGCAGCTAGGATTACAGGTGTGAGCCACCAGTGCCAGCCCTCACTCATTTATGAGCTAGATCTAACCGCATGAGCTTGGTTAGGCACAAGTCCTTCCTTGGGCTCTTCTCTTCACAAGAAAAAAAACATTCAGAATGATGGAAGGAAAGACTGGCCAGAAGCTCTGGACACTTTAGCCACTTCCTTTGTCCAGCTTAGCATCTTCAGTGTTTACAGAAATGCAGTCATGGGACCACTTTACATGCAGTCCAGTGTTCTGCACTCCCTCAGCCAACAATATATTTCTTCTTTTCAGTATTTCCTTCTTCCCACTTTCTAATCTTGAGTTGCACCTTACCAAACCAAAAGATACCAGAATACTAATGACACGCTGGGCTGTAACCTCAAACACAGCTTGTGGTGCAGTGTGACCCATGCTTCTCGGCAGACCTGAGATGGCCACATCTGTCATTATCTATTTGTCTGTCTGTCTGTCTAATCTAGACAAACTTCACATTTGCTACACAAGCAACTCTACCACCTGAGTCACTTCTCCAGTCCAGCCCTCAAAAGCTAATAAAGGACAAAAGTAATCACGCATTCAGTGAACACCAGCTGCACAGCACATAGACTAACTACTCCTCTGAGTATTTGCCAGAACTCTTCCTCTTCCCATTTCACACCTGTCCTATGGCACAGAAACCAAATGGAAAAACAAAGTATTAGCTATTCACCTCACTTTCCTAAAACTCTATTTTCCATATTTAGTTATTATTCACATCAGACTAATACATTAAGACTTCAGGCCAGATGTGAGATAGTGACAAAGGGAAGGCTGGTCAGCCAAATTCTGCACAGGTGGACGCCATGCTCAAAGCCAAGAACATGCTGGCCCAGCCCCTGACCCTGCAGGCCTCCTTCCTCTGCAGGAAGGCTGCATGCACCCTCTACCAGACAGCACCCGGGGATCAGGGCAGCATGAGGTGATTCCCCTGCTCCTTCCCAGTCAGGAACATCAAGGAGATGCTAAAAGAACTCTACCCTGACTAAACGCTATGCTCAAAAAATGCCAGGAGCAAAGAATGGTAAGATAGTAACAGTGTTTGCTTGCGATGAGAATTTGCTTTTGGTGGTGGTGGTGGTGGTCATGGAGCTTGAGGCCTGGAACTGTCTCGAGCTTTTTTGCTCAAGGGTGAGTTAAGTCTCATGGACGTTTCTTTCTTGCTTAGACCAATAATGGAACCTGATCCTCAGACCTTAGCCTCCTGAGTAGCCAGGATTACATATGTGAGCCACCAATGCCCAGCAGAGAATTATCTTCTTCATATTCCAAATATTCTGCAACAAGCATGTTAAACTTTAAAAACATCCCAGCTGGGTGCCAGTGGCTTGCTCACACCTGCAATCCTAGCTGCTCAGGAGGCTGATATCTGAGGATCACAGTTCAAAGCCAGCCTGGGCAGGAAAGTCCATGAGACTCATATGAAACAAACGACCTGAAAACTGGAAGTGACGCCGTAGCTCAAGTGGTAGAGCACTCGCCTTGAACTGAGGGGCAGCGCTCAGGCCCAGAGTCAAGCCCCACAACTGACAAAAAACAAAAACCAAAACAAAAACCAAGCTTGTTTCATCCAAAGGCCATAAAACAAATGTCTTGAAACTGAAACCACCATAAGAAACCTCCAAACACCTCTCTTCCATCTTCTGTAAGAACGCTGCAGACTGGGTGTCGCTAGAATGCTTTTCCAAACATGTACAAGACAAAACAAAACACACTAAAAAGTAAGGAATAGCTTGTAAGCTGGACGTGGCATGGTGGTGCGTGCCTGTAATCCCAACACTGGAGAGGGTAAGGCTGCTGTGAGTTCAAGGCCAGCTCTCAGCTACCATAGTGAAACCTTGTCTCCAAGACATAAGAAAAGTATGTAATGACTGATGTCAGGAGGATTAAGACAAGAGCAAGGAAACAAATTCTAAATTCTTCAGTTCCAAAAGTCGAGTAGCTCTTACACAGAGGTTTCAGCGACTACAGGAACAAGAGAGATCTGGTTACCTTGTGCTGCTCTGGGACAGGCGTGGTACATTTGTAGGAGTAATCCAGGCCCATTTCCCCAAAAGCCACCGCCTTGGGGTGCCTTAAGGCTTGCAAAATGTTTCTCTCTTGATTCTCACTGTAGTACCGCGCGAAATGAGGGTGGCAGCCAAAGGCCCCCCACACCAGGTCCTCTTTCAGGAGCTCCTCCCACAAGCCGTCCGTCAGCGTCCGAGGGTCGCAGAAGTCAGAGATGCAGCCCTGAAACTCCCGGGGGAAGGAGCTGCTGTACGTCTTCCGGAACTTCGTGAAGGTCCCTCTGAAGGACAGCTTGGAGTAGAGCATGTCCAGGTGGCAGTGGGTGTCAATGAAGCCCTCCTCCAGACTCGGCTCCCGGTGGCTCCTTGGAGCTGAAGTAGACGGGAGTCGTCCCCCACAGGGCCGAGGGGGCGTCTCCTCGCGGAATGTCCTTCTCTCCTTCACCTCCCCTTCCTCCGAGCTTCTGGAGAAGCGAAGCCCACGGGCGTTCTGGGAGTGGCCCTCGTGGGTGTCCTGCGGGGCTCTGGTGGCGCTCGGGGAGCTCCCTGGGGAAGCAGCACGCCCCACGCTCCCGTGGCTCTTGTCAGCCTGTGTCACGTCGTGGCCGCCGCTGCCCACGGAAGGGTAGCCAGCAGTCCCAGGCGTCTTGGGGCCACTGGTCCAGTAGCTGGCGTAGTCACACCAGGGGCTACTGTACAGATGAGGAGGGTACATAACGTAGTCCGTGGGGAAGGAAGAAGGTTCCGGAACTGCTGAGGAGCATCTGGCCGAAGGGGGTTCCTCCTGAGAGAATCTCACGGTGGTCAGCTCATCCACATCGGACCAGTCACTTCCTGAAGACGGATGCTCAAGCACCACCTCCCTGTCTTCCTGCTGCAGGGGAACAGAAAGAAAGAGCAGCAGCTTAGCTTCCGTGTGAAAACGAGCTGGGCTCCCGTGGCCCACGCCTATACAGCCACAGCTGCTCCCGAGGCTGAGGCCTGGAGGACCCCAGTTTGAAGCTTAGTTGGGCAGAAAAATCTGCAAGATTTTCTGGGGCTGAAGGTATTGCTTAGCCAAGCAAGAAAAATCAAACGAGTGCAAAACTGAGTTCAAAACCCCAGGACCAGCACAGTCTGCCGCTCCAGAACGCATGCTGCAATTTCACCTGAATGTGGGGGGTTTGGAGACGGACCAGTGGGAGGGGATTAGGATCAGATGACGCATCAGAGTAGAACCCTCCTGACTCAACACCGCTTTATAAGACGGACCGGGACTAGACAGCAGACACACAACATCCATGAGCTACCCGCCACCACGCTGGGCCTAGCCTACCTCAGGATTCTGCCAGCAAAAAGGCCATCATCTGATGCAACCCCATGCCCTTGGACCAGAATCATGAGACAAACTCTTTGTTGTAACCCGCTCAGTCTGCAGTTCCGAGGCATTAGCAGCAGGAAAGCTGGTTCTCCTGGCCAGCCTAGGGTTTACAATGGCGTCTGCTCATTGCCACCTTATGCTTTCCAGAAGGGAGCCAGGCTCCAGAGGTGACAGGTCACATAAGGTGCCAAGGACAAACCTGTGACCCTGGTGTCACAAGGCACTGTGAAGGAGACACTATCACTCTGCCTCCCATCTTAAGGACCTCTTGAGAGAGCTGTTCTCTAAACTTGGGCTGAGAGTAAACAGGCCCAACACTTCCAATGTGTTCAAGATGGAAAACTGTGATTGCTCTGGCAGTTATGAAGCAGGCACCCACTGACTTGACATTATTATCCACTGAGAGTGGGGTCACCAGTGAGCCAATTATTACTGACAGAAAGCAAAAGTGACAGGTGCTCTCTTTGAGGCTTGCAGGCAAAGCTTGAGAGCTTCCTGCACCTTGTAAAAAAAGGTCAGACCACCCGGCTAGAGTGGTCCCACGGGGCAGGGCCAGCAAATATCTGAACAGGAAAGACCCCACCGAATTCCTGCTAATTCACACTCTGCTGAATTCCTGAGCCACAAAACCAAAAACAAAACACAAGCCAAAACCTTGCAATTGCAACCAAACAGACCTACCTACCAAAAAAACCTAAACTCGATCAAGACAAGAACAGGACTGGCAACACTAAGTGTTCATGAACACAGATATCTGTTGAGCTTACTCATAAATGGTGCAGTAGCTCCCAAACACAGCATCAGCAGCTGGGAAGCATTTTAAGATTTTCCACACCCTGATGCCCAAAGATGCCATCAAGCAGTAGGCCCTGTGAGGGGCCAGGGTCTGTGTAATTCTCCAGATAAGGTCTGAGAAACACATTAAATGCGGTATCAAATTTAATGTCAGTGACTCTTATGAATGAATACATCCACATCACCAGCGCCAAGGAGCTTAAATAAGCACCCTTACAAAGTTCTTCTAATATTTCTATAAAAAATTCACTTCCCATAATATTCACAACAAGCTGGTGGCTCACACCTGTCATCCTAGCTACTCAGGAGGCTGAGAGCTGAGGATCGTGGTTCAAAGCCAGCTTAGGCAGGAAAGTTTGTGAGACTCTTATCTCCAATTAATCACAAAAAAAGCTGGAAGTGGTGCTGTGGCTCAATGGTGGAGACTTGAGCAAAAAAAAAAGAAAAAAAGCAGCTCAGGGACTGCATCCAGGCCCCCAGGACCAAGAAAAAAAAATCAGAACAAAACATTACAAATAAATTGATCGCCTCCTTAATATTCAACACAAAATGTGCATCTGTTGCCGGGCGCTGGTGGCTCACGCCTGTAATCCTAGCTACTCAGGAGGCTGAGATCTGAGGATCGCAGTTCAAAGCCAGCCCGGGCAGGAGAGACCATGAGACTCCTATCTCCAATAAACCGCCAGAAAACCGGAAGTGACGCTGTAGCTCAAGTGGTAGAGCGCTCGCCTTGAGCTGAAGAGCTGAGGGACAGCGCCCAGGCCCAGAGTTCAGGCCCCACAACTGGACCAAAAAAAAAACAACAAAGAGAATGAGGTGGTAAAAGAGTATACAAGCCTGGGGCTGGGAATGTGGCTCGGTGGTAGAGTGCTTGCCTAGGATGTAGGAAGTCCAGGGTTCGATTCCTCAGTACCACATACACAGAAAAAGCCAGAAACAGTGCTGTGGCCCAAATGGTAGAGTGCTAGCCTAGACAAAAGAAGCTCAGGGACAGTGCCCAGGCCCTGAGTTCAAGACCTTAGACTGGCAAAAAAAAAAAAAGATTATACAAGATTTAACAATCACTCCCCAGGGATATGACCCACATTCAAAGTGTTGGGTGTCACTTTTAACAAACCTTTTAAGGATCACCATTTTTGGTTTTCTTTTTTTTTTTCCTTTTCTTTTGGTGCTGGTACTAGGGCTTGAACTCAGAGCCCGGGAACTGTCCCTGAGCTTCTTTTTACTCAATGCTAGTGTTCTACCACTATAGCCACAGCTCCATTTCCAGGGGTTTTTTGGTGGTTAATTGAAAATAATAAGACTCTCAGGGACTTTGCTGACTCAGGCAGCTTCCTGAGTAGCTAGGATTATGGACATGAGCCTCCAGTGCCTGGTTTGGTTTTGTTTCTTGGTTGTTTTTATTTTTTCATCACTCCTTAAAACAGTACAATCAGTACAGTTAAAACATATGCTAGAGTTGGGCACCAGTGGCTCACGCCTGTAATCCTAGCTACTCAGGAGGCTGAGATCTGAGCATCACGATTCAAAGCCAGCCTGGACAGGAAGTACAAGAGACTCATCTCCAATAAAAACCACTAGAGGGCTGGGAAGGTGGCTCAGTGGTAGAGCGCTTGCCTTGCATGCCTGAGGCTCTGGGTTCAATTCCTCAGCACCACATAAGCAAAAAGAAAAAAGCCAGAAGTGGTGCTGTGGCTTAACTGGTAGAGCGCTAGCCTTGAGCTGAAGAGCTGAGGGACAGCGCCCAGGCCCAGAGTTCAGGCCCCACCACCGGACCCAAAAAAATAAATAAATAAATAAAATAAAAACCACTAGAAAACCGGAAATGGCACTATGGCTCAAGCAGTAGAGCGCTCTCCTTGAGCTGAAGAGCACAGGGACAGCGCCCAAGCCCAGAGTTCAAGCCCCACAACCAACCAAAAAATAAAAACGAAACAAAAAAAAATATGCTGGGGCTGGGCACTGTGGATCAAAGTGACAGAGTACTGAGCTAAAGAGCTCATTAACAGTCCCCAGGCACAGAGTTCAAATCCCGTGATAGACAAAATAAAAAAAAAAATTAACATCATCTAAGATCAAACTAGAATGATCAAATGCAAATACATTTAGTCAAAAGTAGCAAAAACTCAAATGCTTGGCATGTGCTTTGCTTACCTTTTGGGTATCTACGTGAGAGTCAGAGTCATCACGAAATTCTAGAGGTGCCAGGGGTTTGTCAATGATTGTTGTCTGGTCACCAAGCAGCTCCTCAGCCGGTTGCTCCCCAGGGTCTACAACCACTCTACTGTCAGGAAAGTCGCTGCTGTCAAGCACACGCGCCTCTCCTGACCTGACCTCTGGAGAGGACTCTTCTTTGGAAGGAGCAGTGACTGGGACACTCCTGGCCGGTCCTTCAATGTTCCTGACCAGTCCTTCCAGGCTTCTGGCCGGTCCTTCCCCTCTGCTGGCCAGTCCATCACCATTTCTGGCCGGTCCATCACCATTTCTGGCCAGTCCATCCTCATTTCTGGCCAGTCCTTCCAGGTTCCTGGATGGTCCTTTTAGGCTCTTCGCTGATCTTTCCAGGTTCCTGGCCAGTCCATCCCCACTTCTGGCTGGTCCTTCCAGGTTCCTGGATGGTCCTTTTAGGCTCTTGGCTGGTCCTTCCAGGCCTCTGGCCGGTCCTTCCACGCTCCTGGCTGGTCTTTCTCTGCTGGGATGCTCTCCAGAGCTTGGCTTCACCCTAGTGGTGGTAGCCTCTCCCTTCCTCTTGGGCATTGACTTGCCCAGGATGCCCTGGATGGCCTTCAGGTAGATCATTGTGGAGCCCTGGTCTCGAAGCCTGTCCCTCCTTCTTTTCTGGACCTTGTCTGGGTCCTCCACACTATCATTCTGACTCTCAGCTTCAGCTGCACACTCAGAGTTCATGGAGTTACGAGAACTATCTTTGGAATCAATCTGGAAGGAAAATAAAAGATTTTGAAAAGGTTATATTCAGAGCAGTTCACACAGGAACACCTGGCAAACGACAAAGCAGTCCCACAAGTACAAGGAAAAGTGTCTGTGCGCCAGCACTGGTGGCTTGTGTCTGTAATCCAGGAGACTCAATTTTGAAAACTCTAGTCTGAAGCCAGCCCCAGCAGGAAAAAAAAAAAAAAATCTGTGAGACTCCTATCTCCAATAACCAGCAAAAATGCTGAACTGGAGTGTGACTTACCGCCTCCAGTACCACCTCAAGTGGTAAGGTACCAGCCACAAGCAAGAAAGCCAAGGAAGGGGGTAAGGTCCAAGTTCAAAGCCCTACTATCTCTTTTTACAGAGCCCAACCGACCAGATCTCAGGGGATTCTTCCCATTCTACTCCAAGCTTCCTTAAAACTTCCTGAGCTAGTTGCTAGTAGCTCACGCCTATAACCCTAACTACTCAAGAGGCTGAGACCTGAGGATCACAGTTCAAAGCCAGCCTGGGCAGCAAAGTCCGTGAGACTCTTATCTCCAATGAACCACAAAAAACCCAGAAGTGGTTCTGTGGTTCAAAGCCGTAGAGCAGTAGCCTTGAGCAAAAAAGCTCAGAGACAGGGCCCAGTCCCTGAGGTTCAAGACCCAGGACTGACCAAAAAGCCAGACCAAACAAACAAACAAACAAAAATCTTTCTGAAAACTCTACCCCATAATCTTGCTATCCAAGAACTAGAGATACTCTACCTACCCTCCCTGCTGCTCCCCCATTCTTCTTAGAGACACACTTTTTCTCCTCTGCACTCACAGGAAAAAAAAGCTAAACTGTGTCTGCAACATTAAACTTGTGGTAACCTCACATCTACCGCAAGCCTAGCTAGCATCACCAGCCTCCCAGAGCCTTTCCAAAGGCAGAGCAACTTCTACCTTCCTCAGCTAGGACCTGCACTTGCCAGTCCTGAAGCCTGAACTCAGGAGTCTGGGTGCTGCTCCTGAACTTTTATACTTAAGGCTTGTGCTCTAGCCACAGTTGTACTCTGGCTTTTTGGAGGTTAATTGTAGATAAGAGTCTCACAAGCCAGGCTTATGTCTGTAATCCTAGATCAGGAGGCTGAGATCTGAGGATCATGGTTTGATTCTGCCAGCCCAAGCAGGAAAGTCCATGAGACTCTTATCTCCAATTAATCACAGAAAGGTGGAAGTGGAGCTGTGGCTCAGAAGTGGCAGAGCACTAATCTCAGGGACAGCTCAGGGACAGCACCCTGGCCCAGAGTTCAAGCTCCATGCACTGACAAATAAATAAAGGCTCTCATAAACTTTCTTGCCCAAACTATTGTCCTCAGATCTCAGCTACCTAAGTAACAAGGGTTACAGTGCCACCGGCACTCAGTTATTTTACTTCTGAGAAAAACTTTGAACTCAGGGCCTAGTGCTTGCTAAGACAGAGGCTTGACCATGAAAGTCGAACTCTGAGTCATGAGGGGAATTTAACATGAACGAGTACCTGACTGCTTGCCACCTCTAGCACACATACCCTCTTAGACACTGTTACTCACTCAACTCAGTCCCTCTTTATGTCTGCTGGACTCCTACTCATCCATGGAAGCCCCTTCCTTTCTCTGGCTGCCCCTCCACCCCTGCCTCAAAGGCCAGGTATGACTGACACAGGCTGGAGTGGCTCCACCCACCACACTTCTGCTCGCCACCTCCATCCAACTGCTGCTGTTTGGGAGTGAGAACCCACGTGCAGATTCTGGCTGTGTGTTGTTTTGTTTTGTCCAAGTCAAACCAGAGTCTAAGATTTTTAATGCATTGCTCAGTCATTCAGTAACTATTTACTGAGAGAGACTACCACATGGCTTTGAATTGGCAGCCCACGATTCAAACTCAAGTTCTCTACAGCCTAGAAACCAAGGTGGAAGAGTAAGAAACATAAGAAACTGAGAAAGAGGGCTGGGAAGGTGGCTCAGTGGTAGAGCGCTTGCCTTGCATGCCTGAGGCCCTGGGTTCGATTCCTCAGCACCACATAAGCAAAAAAGAAAAAACCGGAAGTGGCGCTGTGGCTCAAGTGGTAGAGCGCTAGCCTTGAGCTGAAGAGCTGAGGGTAGAAGCGCCCAGGCTCTACGACCGGACCAGAAAAAAAAAAAAAGAAACAGAAAAAAAAAGCTAAGAAGAAGGTCACTGAGGACATCTCCACATTTGATAAACACTTATCAAAATGAACTCCAGGAAACGAAAATGAGGTTTTTTCATTTTTGCTGTGTTTGTGTGTCTTTGGGAGTGTAAGGGGAGGCACAGACATGGAGGGGCAAGGGGTGAGCAGAAGCAGCCGTGGTGCTCAATGGACACACGCAACTGTGGGTGGGGGTGGGAGGGAAAAGCTGGAAGAGAGCAAGGGAAAAGACGACCCTGTCCAAAAAGAAATAGAGGAGGAAGAAAAACAAAACCTGTACGTGCAGGGATCAGGCAGACCTTAATGAGAAGCGCCAACCACCTGGCTTCCAAAGGGACAAACACATTACCATGGGTGACTGAGCTTCCCAAGGCAGGAGGGAGGAGCGAGGGCAGGTACAGTTCCATCCTACCTTCATGCCCAGCCTGAACACCCCTCCCCACCCTTCCTCCCGGTGCCAACAGGATCGCTGAGAAGCAGACTCCACGAAGTCACACCTCAGCTCAAACCCTTCATAGCCCTGCATTTGCTTGCAGAATAAATCCCAAATTTCTGGGCTTCATCTCCACTCTTCTACACACATCCAAGCACCCAGGACATTCAACAGAGACTGGATGGCAGTAACTGTTTCACAACACAAGGAAGTGATTGGAATTTAAGGCAAAATTATGCCAATATCCCTGATCTTATTATGTGTAATATATGTGTGCCTCAATGTCACACTGAGCGCAATATGTATACGGAACGCAATGTATCAACCACAAATCTCTAAATAAACAAGCAAATAAAGACCAAACTAAGATCATCAGCTACCATTAGACATTGAGAAAACCTTTCCATCAAGTGTCCTGGAGGTAGTACAGGCAAGGTGAGGGAGGGAAGCAGGAATCTCTAGTGTTTCAAAACTATATAGCAAGCTGGGAACCAGTGGCTCAAGAACCTTCTTAGGAGGCTAAAATCTCAAGGATTACAATTCAAAGCCAGTGAAGGCAGAGAAATCCACTGAGACTCCATCTCCAATTTTTATCCAGCAAAGCCGGGGGCCAGTGGCTCATGCCTGTAATCCTAGCTACTCAGGAGGCTGAGATCTGAGGATCACGGTTCAAAGCCAGCCTGGGCAGAGAAAGTCCATGAGACTCTTATCTCCAATAAACCATTAGAAAACTGGAAGTGGCACTGTGGCTCAAACGATAGAGAACGCGCCTTGAGCTGAAGAGCATAGGGATAGCACCCAAGCCCAGAGTTCAAGCCCCAAGACTGACAAAAAAAAAAAAGTCCGGCAAAAAGCTAGGCTGGAGATGTGGCTCAAGTGGTAGATCATCAGCCCAGCAGCAAGCAAATTGAACAAGCAAGCTCCAGACCCTGAGTTCAATCACCAGTACCATATACATACACACAAAAAAGTCAACAACAAAAATAAATAAAATGCCCAGAGGCTGCAGGGGTAGCTCCAGAGCACAGCACTACCAAACCTGGATTCTATCCCCAGAAGTGAAAAATAAAATGAAAGGCCAACACCCTCCCCTGTGAACTGTCTGTCCTGGAACTGAGCTCCTGGGGAGCCCTGTGCTCAAGACTGGACACAGTGAAGTGGTCCCTGTCCACGTCTCCAGTGCTGACCCAGGAGGCAGGTGGCTAGAGGCGTCAGGACGGTGGCCCACAAGGAGACCTGGGAGGTCCTGGAGGACTTGGGACTGTAGTTTAGTTAGGGCGTCGCAGCTGTGCTTGCTCATGGGACTTGGAACCCACACTTCAGGGATGGAGAATGAGAGCTGAGGGAAAGGTAAGAGGGGTTAAGTCACCAAGAGCCTTGTTTTTTGTTTTGTTTTTGTCGGTCTTAGGGCTTGAACTCTGGGCTTGTGCGCTATCCCTGCGTTCTTTTGGCTCAAGGCAAGCGCTCTACCGCTGGAGCCACAGCACCACTTCCGGTTTTCGAGTGGTTTATTGAAGATAAGAGTTTCTCGGACTGCCCAGCCCAGGCTGGCTTTGAACATGATCCTCAGATCTCAGCCTCCTGCATGGCTAGGATTACAGGCAAGGGCCACCAGTGCCAGGCAAGAGCCTTGGTTTTATTTATTTTGGGTCCGGTCGTGGGGCCTGAGCTCTGGGCCTGGGCGCTGTCCCTCAGCTCTTCAGCTCAAGGGTAGGCTCTACCACTTGAGCCACAGTGCCACTTCCGGCTTTTTTCTTTTTGCTTATGTGTTGCTGAGGAATTGTACCCAGGGCCTCATGCATACAAGGCAAGTGCTCTACCACTGAGCCACCTTCCCAGCCCAAGAGCCTTGGTTTTAAACAAACACATCCTTAGGGAGGAACCCTTAGCAGTGCTGGTGATGAATAATCGGACTGGAAATATCTGCATCCTCACATAGACTTCTCACCTAACAGAAGTACCTTTTCCCATGGGCCTCTTCTCCATAGAGAACCTGACAAGTCCACATGGATAAAGTAATGACAAGATTGAGTTGTGTCAACACATACCCATACTCACCTGATTTATGTCTGAATTATATTCAGAATTCTTATGATACAGACAGGTTTTCAACTCCCCATTATTTATCATTAAAAAAAAACCCATGCACCCTCAAGAACCGAGGTTGTAAGACACACACTGAAAAAACCTGGGTTATAAGCTGGAAATGTTGCTCAGTGGTAGAGCATGTGCTTAACGTGCACACAACTTTGGGTTTCACTGGCTCTGTGTGTGTGTAGGGGAGTGTGACAGGGGCCCTAGGAGTAAATGCTCCCCAGGACAGCTAGCCAATCAATGACTGTTCCATTCCTCAGCCCCATATAAGAACCCTTTAGACAAACCTGTGCTCCTTTGGGCCATCTTTATTACTTCATTAAAATCCACTTTGTCTAGAAGACAGCCCAGCTCACCCCGAGGCCTACTCTGTACTCCTCCACATGCAGAAAAGACTCCTCACTTTAGACCTGGAGCTCCAAAACCTAGGAGGGCAGTCATCCTGGGTTGCTGGAGAATCCTACACACTGCAACGCTGCCTGGCACAAACCAAGTACTCAATAAATTCCTATTCCAGGCCTGACTGAACCAGTGGAAAAAATGGACCTACTGTGTGAAGCACTCAACCTGCCTCAAGGACTTAAGAATACCTCTTAGTGTTTCCACTAAGCCTACTTTATTCTTATTATCTTTAAGTGTTTTACTAAAGGGTTTCAAAGCAATAAATTAGTTAATTCGTTTTAATTCAATAAATCAGCTGGGCGCCAGTGGCTCACACCTGTAATCCTAGCTACTCAGGAGGCTGAGATCTGAGGATCATGGTTCAAAGTCAGTCACCGGAAAACTAGAAATGGTGCTGTGGCTCAAGTGGTAGAGTGCTAGCCTTGAGCTGAAGAGCTCAGGGACAGCACCCTGACCAGAGTTCAAGCCCCCTGACTTATCAAAACATACATACATACATACATACATCAGCGCCATGATCAGCTGTAAGTCTACTTTGAAACCTAAATTGGAATCAAGCTTAGGGTTAACCTAAAAAACAAAATGGGCCTGTAATACTAGCTACTCAGGAAGCTGAGATCTGAGGATCTAGGTTCAAAGCCAGCAGGGGCAGGAAAGTTCATTAGACTATTATCTCCAATTAACCAGCAAAAAGCCACTATTATCTCCAATTAACCACCAAAAAGCCAGAAGTGGAGTGCGGTTCAAGTGTTAGAGCACTAGCCTGAGCACAAAAGCTCAGAGGCAGCATCTGTTCAAGCCCCAGAACAGGCACCAAAAAAAAAAAAAAAAAAGCCACCAAAGCACCAAAACAAAACTTCAAGACAAAATTCCCTGGCGGTGAAGTTCGGAGTAGTTCAGAAAAATTCAAAGAACAAGGACCCTGTTCCTTAAACTGACTAAAATACCCATGTCCTCTGTCCTGGGCATTCCATCCTGTTCTGCATACCCCAGATCTTCTCCAGCCCTGTGGCACATTTACAGCTACCTAGGGAGCAGATAAAACCTACAATCTCAGCCCATTTGCATTAGTTCCTGTGGTGGGTGCACACTTGTATTTTAAGGCTTTTCAAGTAGTTTCTAAAAGTTTAATGACTGCCTCACAAGCTATTTGGCACAACAAGGAACAACACCAGGGATCCTCGAAGATCTGTGTGCGTGTGTGAGCGCGCGTGCGCTTGTGCTAGGGCTTGAACTCAGGGCCTGGGCGCTGTCCCGTAAGCTTTTTCCACTCAAGGCTGGATCCAGCTCCATCACCTGAGCCACCGCTCCATTTCCGGCTTTTTGGTGGCTAACTGTAGATCAGAGTCTCCCAAGCTTTCCCTACTGGGACTGGCTTCGAACCTCGATCCTAAGATCTCAACTTCCTGAGTGGCTAGGATTTCAGGAGAAAGTCTCAGGGGAGACCTCATTTAGTTGTTTGTTTTGTTTGTTTTTGGTGTCCTCGCTTCGAAATTCCCAGCTCGGTAGCCAGGGACAGGAGGCTGGGCCGGCTGACCTGCCAGGCAGGCAGGGGACCAGGCACTCACCTTAAGGCTGCAGGGTTCCTCCTCGCGGGAAGCCATTTCTTCTAGCGAGGGGCTGGCGGGCAGCGGGGCTCCCCAGGCCGACGGGAACCCGCGGGGGCTCCGACTCAGGCCGCCCGGGGAGGCGGCCCCGCCCACACTCGGGCCCGAGGACTGGGAGGAGCCGGAGGACGAGGAACTTCGGCGGCGCGCGGAGCTCCAGGGCCGGCGGGGCGCGCCGGCCGCATCGCCGGCGGGCGCGGCTGTCAGGCGCTCGGGGCTGCCGGCCCCCCGGGAGCGCGAGCGCGGCGCGGAGCTGCGGGCCGGCCGGCGGGAGGGGGCCACATCACCGGGCTCCCGGAGGCAGCGGCGCTTGCGGGGACACCCTTCCGAAGAGCTGCTCCGGTGCTCCTGGACCTGGCGCCGCTCCGACGCCATGGGCACCTGAAAGCGAGGCACAGGGGGCCTGGGTCCCCGCCCGCCGCCCGGCCGCCCCCGCGCCGAGCCGCCACCCCGGGGGCGCCCCGGAGCCCCAGCACCGGGACGGGCCGCACTGACCTCTCCCGCTGCCTTCCACCGCCCATCACACTTCCCAGCCTTCCGGAGACGCCCTAGCGCCTCGGACCGGTCCCGAGGGTCTGAGGCTCGCCGCCGGCCCCGGGCGCTCGCGGCAGAGGCACGGCGTGCTCCCGGGGTCGCCCGGCGCCACTTCCGGGGCCGCGCGACTTCCGGGACGGCGGCGCGCGCGGACGCGCCGGGCGGCGCCAAGCCCTCGCCGACGTGCGGCGCTCGCCCGGCGCGCTACGCCCCACGCATGGCGGCCGGGCCCGCGCGCCGCCCCGAGGCCCGGCGCCAGGACAGGGCTGCTCCCCGCGGCGGCCCGCCCCGGGCCGAGGGGCCCGCGGGAACCGGCCGCCGCCGCCCGACAGCGCCCGCCCCGCCCTGGCGTCTCGGCCGCCGCGGCCCGGACCAGGCCCGCCCGGCGGGCAGCTCGCCGCCTGCCCTCCTCCGGCGGCCGAACCGGCCTCTCCCCGCGCGGAACCCGCTCAGGCCGCCACCTTGGCGCCCGCCCCGCTGAACGCGGCCCGCGGCGCGGGGTGGGCGGGGCCTGGGCCGCACCGAGAGCGCCCATTGCTGGAAGCTGGAGGGGGCGGGACTCCTGGCAAGATGGAGCTCGCCTGCTGGTCAAGAGGCTTGGAGGCAGGGCCCTACACCTGAAAAAGCTCGCTCATTGGTCGGAAGGAAGCCGGGGCGGGGCTATCGCCTGCGCTCGGAACTCGCGAAGCGGAGGTTGGGCCGCGGTTGCCCAGACCGGTCCTCAGTGCCGGCAGAGGGCGCCGGCGGGCTCCTCGTTAGGCTGCCGCCCTCCTCTCCTGGCATACCCTGCTCGCCCCTGCTCATACCCCATTGTAGAATGGGTAGAACAGGATGCAGTGGCCCAGAGTCCTTGACACCTAGAACATCCGCGAGCCCGGCACCTTTGCCCACGCCTGTACTCAGATGGGAGCGCCAGGACCACCAGTTCAGGTTCACAGGACAGTGTCTCAGAGGTAAACATTCTGCAAGGGCAGGAGGCAGCCCAGGAAGCAGCCTGCTGGCTTAGCATGCCCCAGGCCCTGGGTCCAGCCCCCAGTCCTGCAGAAAAAATAAAGGCATAGAATTCTTTTTTTTTTTTTGTGGTGGTGGTAGTTGAGTTTGAACTTACGTCTCCAGCTTTGGAGGCGGGTGCTTTACCTAATAAAGCCCCCCAGTCCTAAATTATAATATTTCATCCATTAGATTGGCAGGATCAAGAAAACATAATTGCTGGGTTCCACTGGCTCCTGCCTGTAATATTTTGTACTCAATAGAGATTTGGCATATCACAGTCTCAGGCTGCTAGACTCCATTTGCAAAATATTCAGCAAAAAGTAAGGCTGGAGGAATGATTCAGGTGGTAGAGCAATGACACCCACATTAATACAAGTTTGTAGCAACCAGAATGAAAACCATCTCTCATCCATGGAGGAAATGGTTTACATAATATCTCTACAACATAAGTGAGTGAGATTACAGCTGATTAACCCACCCTGGACTGAAAAACACCTCAAAACAAATTCATCTGGACATAATAGTAATTACAAGGTATTTCTGGTTTTACGTATATTTTTATTTTTCAAAAATAATCATTATAGAATTAAATAAGACATTTCTCCTAATGAAATAGAAAATAGCATTTGTTTCGCAAAAGATCTACAATATGGTTTTCGAAAAATATATGCACTATATAAACATTACATACATGACAGAAACACATTATATATATATATAGTGTATATGTGTATGTGTGTGTGTGTGTGTGTGTATACATGTGTGCGTGTGTGTGTGTATACATGTGTGCACCAGTACTGGAGACTGAACTCACAGCCTGGGTGCTGTCCCTTAGCTTCAGTGCTCAAGGCTAGTGCTGTACCAATTTAGCCACAGCTCTACTTTCAGCATTTTGTTCGTTAATTGAAGATAAGAGTCTTACAAACCTACCTGCCAGGGCTGGCTTCAAACTTTAATCATCAGATCTCTGCCTCCTAAATAGCTAGGATTATAGGCATGAGCCACTGTGGCTGGTTAATACCTTTTATAAAACAGGACAAGTGCATTCTTCAAAGTGCTTTCTGGAACCACGTCCTGTTCTAGCGGCTAAGGCAGGGAGGATGAGCAGGAATTACCCTCAAGAAAACTGATATCAAGGAACTTAAATGATTTAACTAAACAATTGATAAAACTGGCCCAACTGATTCTTCATCCAGCTGAAAATAACACAGTCTGAAAATAAAAGCTCCCATTAAAAACGTGTCCAAAAGCTGGGCGCTAATAGCTCATCCTGTAATCCAATCTGAGGATCATAGTCAAACTCAGTCCTGGCAAGGAAGGTCCATGAGATTCTGATCTCCAATTAACTGCCAAAAGGCCAGAAGTGGAGCTGTGGCTTAAGTGGTAGAGTGCCAGCTTTAGCAAAACAAAAAGTTAAAGTGCAGCACCCAGGCCCCAGTAGCAGCACAATTTTTTTTTTAATGTGTTAGGGGAATGGTGTATTATGATGCTGAGCAAGCACCTTTATCTGCAGGTCACAAGAGGGCTGATAAATGGAAACCACAGAGTCCTAAGCAGGTGTCCGCACTTCTAAAACTAGGGACTAAAACTGAGCTAAGAATGGTTGGAAGACACAGGGTAGAAATCTCAGGCAGGGAGGCCTGCAGGTAGTCCTTGGCAAATATGTGGGCAGATTTTAACTTTGGAAACCTCTACTGAGCCTGAAGAATTGCAGTCAGTGTGGAGGAGCGAGAGCACCTCCTGGGGTGGTTTTCATCACGGGCTCCCCCAGAACCACAGAGCCACCCATATCCTGGTCCCATGTACCAGGCCCTCTAGTTCAGTCTCTTCTGACACCTCACGCTGACTCACACATCCCAGACAGAAAGAGCACTTCTGGATTTCTGCAGAGGTCCCTTGTCCCCTAGTTCACTCTTATGAAATGGAAGTTCCCTTCCATCAGGGAAAGCTGAAGTTTGGTTTGCACATCGTGTCCGACCTTGTACACTATACCACTGACTGAACAACTTGTCTTTCCAATGGTGGTCCAGGGCCATCAACTGTGTGCCGGTCTTTAGGGCCCGAAGAGCTCAATGCTGTCCAGTTTCTTCTCTCCGTAGAGAAAGATCTTCTCCATTAGTTTCCTTTTGGCTTCATTGATCTCGATTTTCCAGGAAATCTCTGTAGCTGATGTTCAATAAACAAAGTAAGGTAGAGCAACTTGAACCAAAATTACTATTCTTATAATACTTTAAAAGGCAGACTTGGTCAGAATCTCCTATAACTCAAGTTTCCAAATAAGCCCCCAGGAGCAGGTAAGAGCAGGTTCACTACTCTGTCTTTGTAGGGAAGCCCACGACTTCCCCTACTTTCCAAAGAGGAGGGGGTGCCAGGCACCATCCTAGGCTGGGAGAGATTTGGAGCCCACAATGCTTACAGCCTGCCCCTCCCTCCCTCTCCATTCCGGGGTCATAGCTTTGACATCCAGTGAGTGAGGGGACAGGAACGCCCTAGTGAAAAGGCCTTCCTCAGCTGGGCGCCGGTGGCTCACGCCTGCCAGCCTAGCTACTCAGGAGGCTGAGATCCGAGGACCATGGTTCAAGTTAGCTGGAGCAGAAAAGTCTGTGAGATTCTTATATCTCCAATTAACCAGCAAAAAGCTAGAGATGGAGCTATAGCTCAAGGGGCAGAGTGTCAGCCTTGAGCCAAAAAAAGGAAAGGGACAATGCCCAGGTCCTGAGTTTAAATCCTAGGACTGGCACAAAGAAAAACAAAGTACCTGAGAAGATATGGAGATATCACAGCGAAATCCCCTCCTACTATAAATGGAGGCTATGTAAAAAATAATACCCTAGGACATGATCAATTATACAGGACTCCAGGCATTCACACACAAAGTGAGACCAAAGGAGGATACTCTTAGGGGAGAAACACAAAAGCGCAATGTCTGTGTGCCTCTGATCATATAAAATAATATTTATCAAAATGAACTCTAGGAAGTGGAAACAATGGTTTTTTCTTCATTGTTTTTGTATTCTTTTTGTTTTGATTGTTTATCTGTCTTTGGGAGGGTAAAGGGAATCATAGAAATGGGGGGACAAAGGGTGAACAAATACAACAGTGGTATTCACTAAACCTTGTTGAAAATGAACTCTACAACTTGTGGGTGAGGAAGGGAAGGAAAAACTGGGAGAGAGTGAGGGAAGGGGTGACACTGTCCAAAAAGAAATGTGCTCATTGCCTGACCTATGTAACTGTCACCCCTCTGTTCATCTTTATACTAACTACCAAGAAAAAAACGTATTTTTTAAGTGGCTGGCCAGAAGGAAGAATGGACCAGGGTCTTGCTGGTCCCAGAAAAGGGTTCTTCTGGCTCTAGGGCAAAGGGAACTTTAAACAAAGAGTGCCATGCACTATTTTTTAAAAAGCCACTCCAGGGCTAGGGGTGTGTCTCGGAGCACTTGCCGGCCACGTGTGAAGCCCTGAGTTCCATCCCCAGCACTGCAAAAACACACAAACATAAATAAGAAACCACTCTTGCTGGGTACTGGTGACTCATGTCTGTAACCCTAGCTACTCAGAAGGCTGAGATCTGAGGATTGCAGTTCAAAGCCAGCCCAGGCAGGAAAGTCCATGAGACTCTTATCTCCAGTGAACCACCAAGAAAACCAGAAGTTTTCTGGGTGCCAGTGGCTCACACTTGTAATCCTAGCTACTCAGGAGGCTGAGATCTGAGGATTGCAGTTCAAAGCCAGCCCAGGCAGGAAAGCCCGTGAGACTCTTATCTCCGATAAGCCCCCAGAAAACCAGAAGTGGTGCTGTGGCTCAAGTGGTAGAGCACTAGCCTTGAGCTGAAGAGCTCAGAGACAGTGCCCAGGCCCAGAGTTCAAGCCCCACAACCAAAAAAAAAGGAATAAATGAGGTTGACAAGGAAGAAGTAGCAGGCTCCAGTAAGAAGCTGTTAGATGAGCCTGACCTCCTGTGCTTACCATCCTGGGGGGACTGTGGGCCCCCACAGGCCACGGACAAGAAATCAGCCTCTACTTCCTGAGTGACCGGCAGCCTTCCTGCTCCACCCTCTGCGCAGACAGCTGGGGACACAGCCCCTGAACTGGGGGCTGCCCCAGTGGAGGAGTGGGAGGTGTCCAGGCTGGAATTGTCCACATCATCAGTTTCCTCTGGGGTGTTGGAAGACAAGCCTGTGGCCTCAGAAAGCCCACTGCATGGGACTGACAGATGACCTTGAAGCCGCTCCTCCACTGCAACCATGGAGCCACAGGCCTTGGGGAAGAGCAGGCAGAGAAGACTGTTACTCTGAGAGCAGAGGGCCAACACCCGGCCTCTAAGAGAAATACAAGCACTGACTGTGTTGTTGGAAGAACTGTATGCCACCTTTGAAGAGATCTGAATTTAATGACCACCCTCCTAGCCACAAGTAAGTGCAGATGAGCCCAGATGGACCAATCATAGCATCCTATTCCTCTGGCCACAATGATTGGTACAGAGTTGGGCCTGTTACCAAAGAGGACCAATCAGAATCCTTCCTTGAGACTTGGGACACCTAGAGTTGAAAAGACAACCCTTTGCTTTCTACAGGCAGAACCAGATTCTCCACCCAACTTAGGGATTCATCGGGTAAAGCAGAGGCAAGTGATGGAAACAGAGACATACACAGCCACACCCATGCCCTGGAGACCCAGGGCCCAACTGCCTTGAGGGCAGAGCAATGTGGACCCTCTCTGCTGCAGGGTTAAGAGACTAAGTTCATCATCCCCTATTCATATTCTTCCTCGCTCCCTCCCCATGTGTGCCTACCAGCTTGAGAAATGCATTTCTATCACTTCTAACAAAAAAATGCTCTAGGTCCTTGAGGGCGTTCCTAGTTTTGGAAGTTAAAAAAATTTTAAAAAGCAGAGAATGAATACTGCTTCAAACACACACACACACACACACACACTTGGTAACAATATCTTATTTGCTTGGTGCCTAACAAAAAAATCCAGTATATAAATTCACATATTGCTGCGCTTTTTCACTCAAGCTGGCACTCTACCACTTGAATCACACTTCCACTCATGACCTTTTGCTGGTTAGTTAGAGATAAGGGCCTCTCTGCCCAGATTGTCTTCAGATCTCAATCTTCAGATCTTAACCTTGAAAGGATTACAGGCGTGAGCCACCAACTCAGCACAAGTATGGCAATGAACCCGGACTTGCTGCTCTTCTAGCCCACGACCCAGCTGACCTCTTAATTTTCTAGCTTAGTGGTGATATACTGTAAACAATGACCAATTCTTTTTTGGGCTTCAGCTCTTCAGCTCAAGGCTAATACTCTACCACTTGAGCCACAGCACTACTTCCAGTTTTCTGGTGATTTATTGGAGATAAGAGCCTCACAGACTTTCCTGCCCAAGCTGGCTTTGAACCATGATCCTCAGATCTCAACCTCCTGAGTAGCTAGGATTACAGGTATGAGCCACCGGTGCCTGGCTGACCAATCCTTATTCTTATATATTAGTCTACATGACACACATCCTATCCTTTGATGCCTAATTCAAATGTCAACTCTGGAGATAAATCTTTGCTGTAAGTACTCAAGAAATAGTTGTCTGGCTGAGTGCTGGTGGCTCACACCCATAATCCTCACTAATAATCCTAGATCTCAGGATGATGTTCAACGCCAGCCTAGATAGAAAGCTATGAGAGAGTCTTATTCCTAGCTAACCACCAAAAAGCCAGAAATGAAGCTGTGGTTCAAATGGTAGAGCTCCAGCCTTGAGTGAAAAAGGTACCAGGCACTGAGTTCAAGCCCCCCACACACAAAAGAACAACAAGGAGAAAAAGGAGGGGAAGAAGAAGAGGAGGAGGAGGAGGAGGACAAAGAGGAGGAGAATTATTCCAGAAAGGCAGGAAGAATTCTGTCAACATCAGAGTATCTGGTCCCAGCAACACACCTGCCCTCACGTCGCCCGTTACCATACGGTGGTGCTGACGTGAGCGCCGGCAGACTCTGCTACTGATAACCAGATATAGCCCTGGTGGGTGAGCTCACCCGTGGTGGCACAGACCGGGTCGGGGGCGGCTCACCTCCTCCAGGCTGGCGTTGCGCCGCCGTAGGCAGAGGCAGACAGCTGCGGCCCAGGCCTCGGCACAGTCCTCCGGCAGTGACCCTGCCCTCCTCTCCAGGTGTTTCTGGCAGATCTCCTGGGCCATCACCTTTTCCACATCTGTCTTCCTGGAGCAGGGCGAGGCAGTGCTGCTTGGAATCTCACTGAGGAGCAAATCCTTCTGTGGGAGGAAGGGAGGAAAGGGCTTGTGGGCAAGTGGAGAATTGCTAAATTCCCTCGTGCCCAGGGCACGCACAGCCTTTCACCCCCGCCACTGGGCGCCTCCCCTCCAGCCCAGGTCAGGAAAGCCTAGCCAGCAAAATGCCTATGCGTAGGTCTTCCACAACAGCAACAAAGTAATGTGTCTAAAGCACACAGATGAAACATGAAGGGGTCTGTTATGGATTAGTGATGGACTAGCATTCATAACTAATAGACAAATGATATCATTCATAAGTACTTAAATGATGCTCATTAATATCATTTGCATAATCGATTATCTATTCATCTATAGACTATATAATAGTCTGTAGACTATATAGACTATTATGTAGTCTATCGTCTATTAGTCTAACAGTATGGTATCACTCACATAGTGTACTAGTGATAAATACTAATCATATCACTTAGTCATAAATGCTAATAGTATCACTACCACTGGTGGCTCGTAACTGGAATCCTAGCTACTCAGGAGGCTGAGATCTGAGGACTGCAGTTCAGACCATCTCCAGCAGACAAATCTGAGAGACTGGTATCTTCAATTAACTAGCAAAAACCAGAACTGAGTATGGCTCAAGTGGTAGAGTCCTAGCCATGAGCAAAAAAGCTAAGCAAGAGTGTAAGGCACTGAGTTGAAGTCGCAGTGCTGGCACAAAGAAAAAAAAAAATGAGGTAGAGCTATAACTCCAGCACTCTAGAGGATGAAGCAGGAAGGAAGATGAGGAGTTTGAAGCCAGCCAGGGCTAACGTGTGAAACCATGCCTCAAAATACAAAATAAAATAAATAAGTAAAAATATAACAAACAGCAAGTGCTAAAATAAATAAATGGAACCAGCCCCATTCTGCCTTGGTTTCCCCAATCAAATGGGAGAACTAAGGATTCAAGAGTACTGTGTGCGGGCTGGGAAGGTGGCTCAAGTGGTAGAGCGCTAGCCTTGAGCTGAAGAGCTGAGGGACAGCACCCAGGCCCAGAGTTCAAGGCCCATGACTGGACCTCCCCCCCCAAAAAAAGAATACTGTGTACCTCAGACCACCAGCAATTCAGCTCAACTAACATGAAATAGCCCCTGTATAACAACCTAAGCCAATAAAAATTAAAAATATTATAATTATGTATTTACAATGCTAGGTGCCAGTGTCTTACACATATAATCCCAGCTACCCCGGAGGCTGAGATCTAAGGACTGTAATTTAAAGCCAGCCTGGGCAGGAAAGTCTGTGAGACTCTTAACTCCAATTAACCACAAATAAGCAGGAAGTGGATGAGTGGGCTCCAGTGGTAAGAGTGCCAGTCTTGAGCAAAACAAGCTCAGGGACACTCTTGGGCCCTGAGTTCAAGCCCCAGGACTGCCCCCCCCCCAAAAAAAAGAATATTTGTTTATATATTTACAGAATAACCCTGGCAAGGGCTATATTGACACTGGGTGTGTGTGTTCATACTCTCACTTGGCTTTTACTCTACCTCTGGAGCCACACCTCTACTTCTGACTTTTTGCTGGTTAAATGGAGATAAGAGTCTCATGGATTTGTCTGCCGGGGCTGGCTTTGAACTTCAATCCTCAGATCTCAAACTCCTGAGTAGCTAGGATTACAGGCGTGAGCCACTAGCACCCAGCCTGCACTACCTTTTGCACAGCTCTGTTGTATTCACGTGGGTAGATCACAAGCACCAGTAGAAATCCACACCAGATCCCAGACAGAGGCCTCAGCCATGGGGAACAGATCCCAGTTCCCAGTAACTGCCTGACTTAGGGAGGGGGCCCTTGGCTGGCATCTCTACCACTGCTGAGTAACAGAAGGAAGCCTGATGTCAGAGCAGAGAGAGGGGGACCAGGGCCCCCAGGCCGGGAACCCAGGAAGTCATTGCATGGGGGGCGGTGACTGAATGGAAGCTTGGGGCTCCTGACAAACACTTTGACCCAAAAAGCTGCCAGAGCCCAGGAACTGGGAGGCCCAGCAGACAGAGCAGACGCTGCCAGCGCGCAATCAGCAAAACCCAGCGTCCCCGCCTGGGGCCAAGTGACCCACTTTACAAGAAGACAGGGAAGGGGCTGGGGAATAGCAGAGTCCCAGGAGACCCCCGGGGTGCTCACCCCAGACCACCATCCCACAAGTCGGGGAGCCCCTGACTGACACCCGCAAGTGACAGCTGCAGGCACAGCTCCAATTCCAGACGAGCTGTCCAGAGGCATTCCACGGCAGTTTCCAGGATGGCTGTTGGGGGAGAAGGCAGGGGAAGGGGACCCCTTTCTACGAAGCTGGATCCCTTTCCTATCTCTGCCATGGCTCACTACACAGCTGCATGCCTCTGTGGAGCTCACACCATCTCCTCCACCTTGGATGAGTGAACGTCACCTCCGCAGAGATGAAGGTGAAGATGCACATGAGCACATGTGCACACACACATCTTTAGTGCCTTTAGGTTTGTTGGCTCTTTGTTTTGTTTTTTGTTTTGTCAGGCATGGGGCTTGAACTCTGAGCCTGGGTGCTGTCCCTCAGCTCAAGGCAAGTGCTCTACCACTTGAGCCACAGCGCCACTTCTGGTTTTCTGGTGGAGACAAGAGTCTCATGAACTTTCCTGCTTGGGCTGGCTTTGAACCACAATCCTCAAATTTCAGACTCCTGAGTAGCTAGGATTACAGGCATGACTCTCAGGCATCCAGGTTATAAATTTCACTCCATGGTTCTCCATGGCATGTATGAATGTATCCCAAGTTCCATAACCATTTCCTCACCAGGAGATATTTTACTTATATTCCTGCCTTTCACACCATCAGGAAACAGCCAGCATCCTTATCCACCTGTCTTTCCAGTCCTGGGGCTTGAACTCAGGGCCTGGGTGCTGTCCCTAAGCTTTTGTGCTCAAGGCTAGTGCTCTACTACTTTGGCCACAGCTCCACTTCTAGCTCGGGGAGTTAATTGGAGATAAGAGACTCACAGACTCCTACCCAGGCTGGCCTCAAACCATGATCCTCAGATCTCAGCTTCTAGCTAGGATTACAGGTGTGAGAAGCAGCGCCCAGCTTCCATCTGTCTTTTTTTTTTTAATCTGCCTTTTCTCTCACACAGGCGTGTTTCTCCAGCACGACCGCCACAGCCACAGCGGAGGGCACACACCATCTTAGCTCTGCTAGAAATCAGCGGATGCTCCCTGGCTACCAAGTCAACCACAGCCCCAAGAGTCAGCCAGCAGCGGAGGCTGCCTCCACCCTCACCACGGCAAGACACATCTGCCCTCTCCTCTCACTAAACTCCATCACCGCCAGACTGCGTGCACCACAGCAGCAGCACACTGGGAGACTTACATTCAGGTCTACAGGAAGAGAAAGAAATCAGATTTAAAGCCAATAAAATCCAGTATCTTCCACATGTATAAACCTTTAACAACAACAACAAAAACCCTTCTAGCTGGGTCCCAGTATTCACACCTATAATCCTAGTTACTCAGGAGGCTGAGATGGATTGAAGTTGGAAGCCAGCCCCGGCAGGAAAGTCCTTGACAGTTTTGTTGTTGTTGTTGTTGTTGTCGGTCATGGGGCTTGAACTCTGGGCCTGGGTGCTGTCCCTCAACTCTTCAGCTCAAGGCAAGTGTTCTACCACTTGAACCACAGCACCATTTCCAGTTTTCTGGTAGTTTATTGGAAATAAGAGTCTCACGGACTTTCCTGCCTAGACTGGCTTTGAACTGTGATCCTCAGATCTCAGTCCCCTGATTAGCTAAGGTTACAAGCGTAAGTCACCAGCGCCCAGCCTCCCTGAGACTTTTATCTCTAATTAAGCGTCAAAAAGGCAGAAGTAGAGCTATGGCTCAAGCAATAGAGTGCTCTCCATGAGGAAAAGAGCCAAGTAAGAGTACAAGACTGGCTGGGAATGTGGCTTAGGGGTAGAGTGCTTGTCTAGCATGCATAAAGCCCTGGGTTCCATTCCTCAGTACCACATACACAGAAGAAGAAAAAAAAGCCAGAAGTGGTGCTGTGGCTCAGGCTGTAGAGTGCTTGAGCAAAAATGCAGCTCAGGGACAGTGCCTAGGCCCTGAGTTCAAGCCCCAGAACAGGCAAAAAAAAAAAAAAAAGTGGGCTGGGAAGATGGCTCAGTGGTAGAGCGCTTGCTTTGCATGCATGAAGCCCTGGGTTCAATTCCTCAGCACCACATAAGCAGAAAAAAGCCAGAAGTGGCACTATGGCTCAGGTGGTAGAGCGCTAGCCTTGAGCTGAAGAGCTGAGGGACAGCGCCCAGACCCAGAGTTCAGACCCCACGACTGGAAAAAAAAAAAAAAAAGTGCAACACACACACACACACACTCCAGCTGACCTGACTCAGGAGCCCAGCTCTGAGGTGGCACTCAGAACCAGTTCCTCATCTGGGGATGGGGACACTGTGTCCCCTTCACAGGCTTCGAGATGACTTGAAGGCGCGTGGGCAACCCTCAGCGGTCAAGCTGAGTTGCACTTTTGAAATGACACTGTGTGTGGGAAGGGGTGGGGGATCCATGCTTCAATCTACAAAACAGACAGTTCTGGAAGGGGAACTCGCCAAGCCCACGCGGTGACAGAGCCCAAGACTACGAGCTGGCCAAGCAGAATCAACATAGCAACTCACCAGGTACATGGGGCTCCGGTTCTTATCCATGGCAGGAATGCCAGTGAGGACCTCGGCTAACACCTGGACAGAACAGAACTTGGAGTTAGCACAGTCCACACACTCATGTCCAAGGTCAGCAGGATATTTGGGCCGAGAGAAGCTTCTTCTCACTGAGAAAATGTCTGAGGCCCAGGCCAGCTGTGCCACCTGACGCAGACATACCACCCAACCATGGGAATGCCACCAAACACCTCCAACTAAACATGCCACGTGGCAAGTCTCATTAAGTGAGAGCAAAGCAAGAAGGAGGGGACTCAAACACTTAAGTATGTGTCTGGGCATGGTGGTACATGCCTGTAATTCCAGCTACTCAGGAGGCAGAGATAGGAGGATCACCATTTGTGGCCATCCCAGAGAGAAACTGATAGCAAGATTATATCTAAAAATAAATACATAAATAAAAATAAAAACAAAAAACCCTGGCTCATGCCTGTAATCCTAGCTACTCAGAATACTGAGATCTGAGGATCATGGTTCAAAGCCAGCCTAGGCAGGAAAGTCTATGAAACTCTTGTCTCGAATTAATCACAAAAAAAAAAAAAACCTGGAACTGGTACTGTGGTAGAGTGCTAGCCTTGAGCAAGACCAAGCTCAGGAACAGCGCCCAGCCCGAGTTTGATCCCCGGACCGGCAAAAAAAAAGCCTAGCTGGCTGCTGGTAGCTGCCAGGCACCGGTGGCTCACATCTGTCATCCTAGCTTCTCAGGAGGCTGAGATCTGAGGATTGTAGTGCAAAGCAGCCTGGGAAGAAAGGTACATGAGACTCATTCCCAATTAACTACCAAAAAGCCAGAAATAGAGGTATGGCTCAAGTGGCAGAGGGTTAGCCTTGAGCAAAAAAGTTCAGGGAGGGGCTGGGAAGGTGGCTCAGTGGTAGAGCGCTTGCCTTGCATGCATGAGGCCCTGGGTTTGATTCCTCAGCACCACATAAGCAAAAAGAAAAAAGCCGGAAGTGGCCCTGTGGCTCAAGTGGTAGAGCGTTAGCCTTGAGCTGAAGAGCTGAGGGACAGCGCCCAGGCCCAGAGTTCAGGCCCACAACAGGACCCAAAAAAAAAAAAAGTTCAGGGACAGCACCCAGGGGCAGAGTTCAAGTCCTAGGCCTACTGATGTTTGTGTGCAGGCACATGCACAGACACACGCACACACAAATCCACTTACAAAAATAAATCTAAGGGCTAGGCAGGTGGCTCAGTGGTAGTGCTTGCCATTCATGCATGAGGCCCTGGGTTTGATTCCTCAGAACCACATAAGCAGAAAAAGCCAGAAGTGGCGCTGTGGCTCAAGTGGTAAAGTGCTAGCCTTGAGCTGAAGAGCTGAGGGACAGTGCCCAGGCCCAGAGTTCAAGCCCCATGACCGACAAAAAAATAAAAATAAAATAAATCCACCACCCAGATGACCAGGGCCTGTGTCGTTACTAACACACTGGCAGTGGCCTGGGAGAGTTTGGGGGGAGGGAAGGAATCAAGTGTCCGTTGCCTCTGCCTTTGTCCCTGAGCCTGGATGGGCTGTTTATAGGAGTCATTAAAAATCAAGAAATAAAGCCCAGTGCTCCCCACCCCAGAGGGACCAAAGCTCAAAAGCATAAGCACCCATCAGGGCTGAGAAAAGGGCGGGGCGGAGGGAGAGGAGGGCCCTCAGTGAGTGAATGGACAAATGAGCGGACAGATGGGTGAACAGACAGACAGATGAGAAAGTCAACTGTAAAGCCAAGGACTGGATTAAAAGCAAGAAACAGGAAGAGCGAGGGTTTGAAGGCAGAGGCCAAAAAAAAAAAGAAAAACACAGGGCAAAGTGCATCTTGGTGATAGAGAAGGTGCTCAGCGTGTGCTGGGCCCTGGGTTCCAAAATAATAACAGCCTGCACATGTGCAGGCCACCCGCTCAGAAACTATCCCTTACTCTCTCTTTACTCTCTCTTTGTATCATGTCCCCACACCCCCATTTTTTGGGGGCATGGGTGGGGGCTGGGCTTGTCTTAGGCCTTGAACTCTGGGCCTGAGTGCTGTCCCTAAACTCCTTTTTCTCAAGGCTAGTGCTCTACCACTTGAGCTATAGCACCGTTTTGGGCTTTTTCTGTGATTCATTGGAGATAGCCTCACTGAGTTTCCTGCCCGGGCTGGCTTTGAACTGCAATCCTTAGATCTCAGCCTCCTAAGGAGGTAGGATTCCAGGCGTGAGTCACCAGTGCCTGGCTTCAGTTGTGTTTTTTTTTGAGACTGGGTCTTGCCATACAGCTCAGGATGGCCTTGAACTTGTGATCCTCCTGCCTCAGCCTCCCAAGTGCAGCTAGCTGTAAAGGAGCAGCAGGAGGCTGAGCCAGCCCGGCTAGCAGAAAGCTGTTTTTCTGCAGCCTTCCCAGTGGCTGGAGAGAGGCAAGGACAGCAGGAGGCTGGACTGACAGAAGGAAGCTGAACCTGGCACCCTGAGGTCAGAGGGGGCACTGGGCGAGGGTGGAGGGGCAGACACGAGTGCACAGGGACTGTGGTCACAGAGCAGAAGTTCAGAGTTCAGGACGGGAGAGGCAGGGAGAAGGTAAGGCCCCGGGTTGAGCTGTCTGGGAAACTGGCGAGCTTTTCTGAGCCTGAGCTTCCCTGGCTGGGCTCCGTGTGAATACAGGTGCTGGCTGACAGGCTGAGAAAGCAAGGTTCCATCTTCTCGTGACACTGGGAACTCCTGCATTCCCTCCTCTGCTGGGTTTACAAGGACCACAGCCTAGGGTCACTACCAAATTCACTCTAACTGCTTTCACTTAAAAAACAAAAACAAAACCGTTTGACTTTGGTTGTGGACAGGAAGGCGTAGGGAAGGGGAACACATTCTGAGTGGATGGATAGCTGGATGGATGGGAAGGCCTTGGAGGAATGGATGGGCATTGGACAAATGGCTGGATAGACGACCGCAAACAAGGACAAGCCAAATGTCTGTGGCTCACACCCTAACTACTCAGGAGGCTGAGAGAACAGTGGTTCAAAGCCAGCTCAGGCAGAAGAAAGTCTGTGAAGCTGGGTACTAGTGGCTCGCAACTACAATACTAGCTACGGAGAAGGCGGAGAGCTGAGGATCTCACAACCATACAAAATAGGCACTGTGATGGGAGGATCACTTGAGCCTGTAAGTTCAAGACCAACCTGGATAACATGTTGAGATTCCATCTCAAAAAATAAGCACTGGGGAGGGAGGCTGGAGGGGTGGCTCAGTTGGTAGAGCACCAGCCAATGAGCAAACATGGCTGCAGGTACCGAATTTGAGTCCTGGTCTTGGACCAAGAAAGAAAGAAAAGACTTGCTGGCAGTATGACTCAGTGGTAGAGGGTTTGCCTAGCAAGCGCAAGGCCCTGAACTTAAACCTTGGCACAGAAAGAACAAAAGTGACAAAATGGTCCATGCAGATGTGGCCGTGCGTCCGTGGCCGCCCCTCCGCCTCTGCTGGGCCCTAAAGCCACAGAGGAGCCGGGGCAGGTGGAGGGCGAGCAGCACAGGAGCCCTTACAATTCCACAGCTGAAGACGTCCACTCGCTGGGTCAGCCGCCCCACCCTCACGAAGTCCTCGGGCAGGTAGGCCGCGGACGCCTGGAAGACGCACGTCTTCATCAGGGTGTACCTGGACCTTCCGTCCCCAGGGCACAGGGCAGCCATGGGGTGAGCCAGCTTGGGGGTGAGGCTGTGGTCCAGCAGAACGTTGGAGCTGTGGGAAAGCAAGCAGCAGTTGTCATGGAGACTGTGGGAGGTCACAGGCCCTTTTGGGGGGGGGGGGACGGTCACTGAAGACCCTCAATGTGGAATTTCTGAGCCAGCCCTGAGAGGGAAAAGCAGGAAAGCTAAGGGACAGCACTCAGACTCTGAGTTCAAGTTCTAACACCAGTATTTTTTTTAAAAAAAAAAAGCCAGGCGCCCGTGGCTCACGCATGTCATCCTAGCTACTCAGGAGGCTGAGATCTGAGGATCACGGTTCAAAGCCAACCTGTGCAGGGAAGTCTGTGAGACTCTTATCTCCATAAACCACTCAGAAAACTGGAAGTGGCGCTGTGGCTCAAGTGGTAGAGCCCTTGCCTTGAGCTGAAGAGCTGAGGGACAGCGCCCAGGCCCAGAGTTCAAGACCCACAACTGACAAAAAAACAAAACAAAACAGCAAAAATAGAGTTGGAGGCATGGCGAGAGCACCAGCTTACCAAGTGCAAATCCCAATGCCAACACAAGATGACACCCAGGAGAGGCGAGGTGGAGGAGAAAAGCAAAGCGTCAGAGCGAGGGGAGGGCCGAGGCAGGTCAGCTCGCAGGCAGGCCTGGGCAGGGTCTACTCCTCTCACCTCTTGACATTTCCATGGATGATGTCCAGGCTGTGTAGATGCTCAACGGCACGAAGCATCCCTGAGCAGATGCTGGCGCGCTGAGGCCAGGTGAGCGGGTCGGCACCACCCTGAGGGAGGGAAGGCAGGAGGGCACACTGTCAGCACACGGCCTGTCTGTGGAGTGCACAGCTAAGGTCTCTGAGCCTCCGCTTCCTTGGGTAGAACGTGGCGATGCTGGCGTGTTGGCTGAGGTACAGCTCAGTGGCAGAGCACTCGCCCCTCGCACCACAGAAAACAGCATACAGGAAGCCTTGGTCCTCTGTTTTGGGGTACGGTGTGGGCCAGGTGAATGCAGCAGGTGTGCTGGCCGGATGCTGGGCAGCTGTGCTCCCTTGGGACGCAGACTCAGGCCTGGCAACAGCTGTGGGAGCTGCGAGGCTCTCATCCAGAGTCCCGCACAGCACGCAGAGAGGGCACAAGTGCTGCTCCCTAACTGGAGGTCACCTGCTTCTCTTCCTGACAGTGGCCCGTGCTTACCTGGGCCAGCAGTTTGTCCTGCAAGGAACCATTCTCCATGTAGGCGTAGATCAGGCTGTAGAACTCTCTCCCCGCACAGAAGCCCCGCAGAGGTAATACGTTGGGATGGCAGCATCTGAAACCAGGCCGCAGTGCAGGGTGAAGAGCAAGCGAGGAGCAGGTTGGCAAAGGCTGCCCACCCTTCCCTTCCCACCTCACCCCTGCATCCCAGGGCCACCAGTAACCTCCCATGTGCCTCGAGCATGCTTAGAAGCCTAAAGACCCCACCCTGCTCTTCTGATCGGCACCCTGCCTCCAGCGACGGAGGCTTAGAGGATGGAGGCTTTGCCAAGGAGGCTGCCAGCTCCCAGACATCCCTGGACACCCCCCACACACACCGGGGTCAGCCTACCTCTGATGTGAACTGTCCTCTGGCCACCATGTCCACTCCCTCCTAGCTCTCCTTCTGCCTCTCAGGCCACTATTTCTGCCGTCCCTCCCCCTCCCAGCCCCCCACCTCCACCCCGTCACTTTTTTTTTTCTTTTTGCCAGTATTAAACTCAGGGCCTCGAATTCTTGCTTTCCCCACCCCCCCAAGGCTAGTACTCTACCATTAGAGCCATTTCCAGCTTTTTGCTAGAGATAAGAGTCTCATGGACTTTCCTGCCCTGGGCTGGTTTCAAATCTCCAGTCTCGATCTCAGTCTCCTGAGTTGCAGGTGTGAGCCACCAGTGCCTGATCATTTGAGTTTCTATATGACACGATTCCAATGTGTTTTCCTAAGTCAACTTGGGTTCACAAAGTCCTATTTGAAGTTGGGTGCCAGTGGCTCACGTCTGTCATCTAAGCTACTCAGGAGGCTGAGATCTGAGGATCACAGTTCAAAGCCAGTCCAGGCAGGAAAGTCCGTGAGACTCTTATCTCCAATGAACCACCAGAAAACTGGAAGTGGCGCTGTGGCGCAAGTGGTAGAGCGCTAGCCTTGAGCTGAAGAGCTCAGGGACAGAGGCTAGGCCCAGAGTTCAAGCCCCACCACCACCACCAAAAAAAAAAAAAGCCCTATCTGATATCTGATTGTATCTGGAGGCGCAGGGTGGAGGGCGAGCACACTAGCACGCTCGGGTCCCACCATGTGATGCCGTTGCCACCTTACGGAGCTGCACCAGGCCCTCACCAGACGCCAGATACACAGGCTTAGATTTGCCATCCTCCAGAACCGGGAGCTAAATAACCCTCCAATCTTTTACCAGCTCCCTACTCTGCAATATTCATTTGTAGCCACAGAAAGACTAAAGCAATTGATAACAGAGTGCCTGGCACCTAGCAGCACCTTCATAACAGAGTGCCTGGCACCTAGCAGCACCTTCCAGGGCCCCGTGTGAGCAGCCGGCAGGGCTCCCCCAAGGGTGCTTACCTCAGGCAAACCTGCACCTCCGCCTGGAAGAATCTCTCCATGGACCCTGGACTCGAGCAGGCTGTCTGTGGACAAAGACACAGGAACGTGAGGCCGAGCCTCTGCTGGGCAGCCTCCACCCCAGGGTAAATCCTCACCAGGCTCACCTCTCTGAGCCTCTTGAAGACCCAGGACATGCCATGCCTCTGTCCTCTGTAGATGTCAGCAAATGTCCCCTCGCAGATCCTGTGGCTTTGGTCAAAGTTATGGGTTGCCTGGACCACGTCGACCTCGCTCCAGAAGAGGCCGCCATCAGGGACGCTCACACGTGTTTCCTGCTGCGGGAAGGAGGTGCTGCCGTACTGCGGGTTCAGAGGAAGAAGGGGTGGGCTCACTAGTGGAAATTTGCTTCCTATAGCTGCCTTGGGAGACCCTGGAATACCACAGCCACGAGAGGGGAGGGGAGGGCTGGGAAGGTGGCTCAGTGGTAGAGCGCTTGCCTTGCATGCATGAGGCCCTGGGTTCGATTCCTCAGCACCACATAAGCAAAAGGAAAAAAGCCGGAAGTGGTGCTGTGGCTCAAGTGGTAGAGCGCTAGCCTTGAGCTGAAGAGCTGAGGGACAGCACCCAGGCCCAGAGTTCAGGCCCTGCGACCGGACCAAAAAAAAAGAGAGAGAGGGGAGGGGATCCTGCAGGGCGTGAAAAAGATGACACGCAGAGGCCCAAGTTCAAATCCCAGCTCTATCTGGAACTTGCTGTGTGACCTTGACTGAGTTACTCAACCTCTCTGAACCTCCATTTCTTCACCAGCAAAAATAAAGATAAGCATGGGATCCTGGCAGATAATATTGATAGAGCCAGGCATTTATTCCAGGGGGGTGGGAGCTGAGGGGACACGGCTGGTCCATGAACTGCCCTAGGGTACATGCAGGGACTGGGGTTTGGAGAGCAGACCATGCACTTATATAGACAAACCAATTCTCTACTCGGTTTTAGAGCTTGGTGCCTAATAGGAGCCTATGAAAAGAAATTCTAGCTGGGCACCGGTGGCTCCAGGAGGCTGAGATCTAAGGACCACAGTTCAAAGCCAGCTGGGCCGATAAGTCCAAGAGATACTTATCCCCAACTAACCCACAAAAAGCCAGAAGCGGAGCCGTGGCTCAAGTGAGACAGGTCCAGCCTTGAGCAAAAAAAAAAAAAGCTAAAGGGCAGCACTCAGGCCCTGAGTTCAAGCCCCAGTACCAGCACAATACACTAAAAAAGCTATACTGGAGGTGTGGCTCAAGCAGTAGAGCACCAGCCATGAGCAGAAAAAGCGGAGCGAGCGCTCAAGGCCCTGAGCGGAGGGCCCAGTACCAGGAGGACGCGTTCACCGGGCGTGCGTGCGTGCGTGCTCGTGCGTGCGTGCTCGTGCGTGCGTGCTCGTGCGTGCGTGCTCGTGCGTGCGCGCTCGTGCGTGCGCGCTCGTGCGTGCGCGCTCTGCGTGCGCGCTCTGCGTGCGCGCTCTGCGTGCGCGCTCTGCGTGCGCGCTCTGCGTGCGCGCTCTGCGTGCGCGCTCTGCGTGCGCGCTCTGCGTGCGCGCTCGTGCTCGTGCGTGCGCGCGCTCTCGCCGCCGCGGCCCAGCCAGGGCGCCGGTTAGCGGGGATGAGGCCCTCGGGCGATGAAGCCGCACGGGAGGAGAAGCTGGGGGCAGGCTGGAGCCAAGCTGGAGAGGCGTTACCTTCAGATCAGAGGCGGCAGGGAGGCCGGCCTTCAGGGGGGCCGGCGTGGACTCCTGGGAAGGCCGTGAGCGCGAGGCCGGCGGGGGCGCCCTGGCTGGGGCGGCCGCTGGAAGGAGGAGCACGGTCAGCGCGCAGCAGGCACCCGCACCGCACGGACGGACGGACGGACGGACAGGAGCGGAGCCCCAGGAGGCCGCAGCCCGCGCCCGCGCCGCCCGCAGCGCCGCCAGACAGCAGCGAGGGACTGCCTTCCAGAAACTTCCACAGCGGCTTCCCCGCCAAACAGCATCCTTGGAGGACACACCCCGGGGGCAGAGCGAGCCGGCAGCCGAGCGCCTGCAGTCCCGGCCGCTCGGGCCGAGCCGCGGCCCCGGCCCGCTTGCGCCGGCGTGGAGCGTCCGCGCCCGCCGCCCCGCGTGGCGCCTGCGCGGCTGTCTGCCACTCATGTTCCCGTCACTAATTTTGTTGTAGGTGGCGGTCGCGGGGCTGAGCTCTGGGCCTGGCGCTGTCCCGCAGCTCTTCAGCTCAAGGCTAGCGCTCTACCACCTGAGCCACAGCGCCACTTCCGGCTTTTTCTTTTTGCTCATGTGGTGCTGAGGAATCGAACCCAGGGCCTCATGTTGTGCCCTTTTTTTTTTTTTAAACCATCCTTCGTTGCTTTTCCTAAGTTTGGGTCTTGCACATTGGGTGGGATATCCTTATAAAAAACAGCTTCATGGCTGGGAAGGTGGCTCGCGTGGCTCGCATGCGTGAAGCCCTGGGTTCGATTCCTCAGTATCACATACACAGAAAAAGCTGGAAGTGGCGCTGTGGCTCAATGGTAGAGTGCTAGCCTTGAGCAAAAGAAGCTCAGGGACAGTGCCCAGGCCCTGATTCAAGCCCCAGGACTGGCGAGAAAAAAAAAAAATCATTTCCTTAAATAAGTTTGCTTTAAGTAAGAAAACAAAATCAATGACATGAAGTCTACCTGGGTGCAGAGAGGAGTCGGGCCTGGCTGGCTGCCCCTTCCGGGGCTTGCCCTGGCCACTCCTCGCGGGATCCGCCCCCGGCCCCAGCTGCACAGCCCAGGGGAAGCCGGGCAGCGCCGGGATGCTCTCCAAAACCGGATTCCCTGAAAGCAAGGCACAAAGAGGCAGCTATTGTTTCCTGAGGTAAACCAGCCACGGAACCGGAGAGCCGGGAAGTCAGGGTCTGGGTTCTAATCCTGGCCTTGGCCACAAGTTCCAAGTGTGCTAGGAGGTCTTCCCTGGGCGGGGCCAGGCCTGTCCATCTGCACCGCAGGGACTGGCCGGGACAGTCCCCCGTGGGATCCGCCTTCCGGCCTTCCGCGTGCGGTGCCACACACCCCTGGCTCCCATCGCGACAGTTCCAGCACACACCCTGGCTGTTTCCCTGCAGCACACACCCGTGTCTTTGTCCACAGGAACATGGAGGTTGCAGGCTGTACAAGCCACCCCTGTGAGGGCCAAGGGAGCTCTTATCTACTGACTTTTCATTCTTGGTGAAGTCCAGCTCATCCTTCTCTCTTCTTCCCACAGTGTCCCGCCCCAGGCACTGAGATTCACCAATGGGCGGGGCCACAGCCCTGGAGTGTGAGGTGATTAACACCCTCCCTCCACCCCCCACCCCCCCCCCCCACACACAGGAAGCACCTAGTCATTCAGGGCTACCAAGCCACAGCTGTCAGCTGACAGCCCAAGGTCATTTCCTGAGAAAACCCCCTGTCGGGGTATTTTGGGTTGAGATGAGGCTTTTCAAGGTAAACAATCCGGGGCTCCAATGGTAGAGCACTTCTGTGGGGGTGGCCACGGCCCTGGTCTCATTCCCCCAACCACCAAAAGGAACAAATAAGTAAACGGAGGTGTTGCGGCTCACACTCTCTCTTTTAAGCCTAGCATACCAGGTAGAGATGAGAAAGACGGAGGTTCTGATTTCAGCCCTGACCCCCCGCTTGTGTAACACTGAGACTGTAGGTAGGAGGCTCACGGGGGAGGGACATTAGGACTGTGATTTGAACTCAGAACCTTCCCTTGCTAGGGAGCTACATGAGCTCCCACAATTTTTTTCCCCAGTTCAAGTACTGGGGTTGGAACTTAGGGGCCAGACACTGATGTGCTGTCCTTTAGCTGTTTCACTCACGACTGGAGCCCTCCCACTTGAGCCACGGCTCCACTTCCTGTTTTATTTTGGTGATTAATTGAAGAGGCTCCTGTACTTTCAAAGCCAGGTTGGCTTTGAACAAGATCCTTAGATCTCAGCCTCTGAATAGCTAGAAAGACAGGCATGAGTCCCTGGACGCTGTTCCTGAGCTGCTTTTGCTCAAGGCTAGCATTTTACCACGTGAGCCACAGCGCCACTTCTGGCCTTTTCTGTGTATGTGGTACTTTGGAATGGAACCCAGGGGCTTTGTGCATGCTAGGCAAGCGCTCTACCACTAAGCCACATTCCTAGCCCTGAGATTTTTTTTAATCTTCAATGAACTCTCAAACTAAGCTAGAAGTGGCACGATGACTCAAGTGGCAAAGTGCTAGCCTTGAGCAAAAAAGCTCAGGAGGAGCGCCCAGGACTGGCACACACAGTTCAAGCCCAGGACTGGCACATACAGTTCAAGCCCCAGGATTGGCACATACAGTTCAAGCCCCATCCCAGGACTGGCACACACAGTTGAAGCCCCATCCCAGGACTGGCACGCACAGTTCAAGCCCAGGACTGGCACATACAGTTCAAGCCCAGGACTGGCACACACAGTTCAAGCCCCAGGATTGGCACACACAGTTCAAGCTCCAGGACTGGCACACACAGTTCAAGCCCCACCCCAGGACTGGCACACACAGTTCAAGCCCCAGGATTGGCACACACAGTTCAAGCCCCAGGACTGGCACCCAGACAAAAGTGCAAGCACTGAGCATCACGGTCTCCACACGTGCTGATGTTCATCCTGGACAGACAGGACAGGCCTCGCCTCTGCACTTTTCCTACCTCCGACAGAAAAGCCCTTCTCTGTCCCTGCCCTTTCCAGTTCCCTGCAGCTATGGGGCCCACTGCGGAGGCTGACTGCGCCGCAGGATGCTGCTGGAGAGATAAAAATAGAGCAGCACGGGAGAAAGGCTGTGCCAGGCGGGCTTCCTGCCTGCCCAGGCCATGACCCAGGCACCGTGGCGGGAGCCACTGCCAGGCCATCCCCTCCCCCGCCCGCACACAGCGGCCTGCACTGACTTCTCAGGAGACCCCAGCACAACAGGGCTGGCTATGCAGCCAGGAGGCCCAAGCACAGTGGTGGGTAGAGGACAGAACTCAGGGAGCTCTGGAAGATTCTCCCTGTGGTGGAAGCAGGCCAGGCACCCACCACCCAACTGTGGACTCCCACCTCTGAGCCTCCCACGCTGCTCCTAGGGCTTAAGCTCAGGGCCTGGCCTCTGTCCCTGACCTTTTTTGCTCAAGGCTAGCTGGCTATTGGGTGATTTAGTAAGGAAAGGCGTGTCATGGCCTTTCCTGCCCAGGCTGGCTTCAAACCACAATCCTCACATCTCAGCCTCCTTGGTAGGGAGGATGACAGTCATGAGCCACTGGCGCTTGGCCTCATTTCCTTTCTGAGGCAAGGTGTCAAGTCATCGTTGCCTGGACTGGGCTTACACTACCATCTTCTTGCCTCCACTTCCCTAGTAGCTGGGCTTACAGGCATATGCCATCACACCCAGCCTATTTTCAACATTTTAAGAGCGGCTACGGACACTGGGTCTAGGTAGGCAGCAATTTGGGGAAGGGCCTGGATAGCAAGTAACCACAGGGGCAAAATGGCAAGCCTGGGCGGAGCAGGCCTGGGCGAGGTCTGGCTGCCAGCTCTGGCTTCCACCAGAGGAAGCAGACCCTCCATGCTGAGCTCAACTAGTGGTTGAGCGTTTACTGACGCCCCGCTTCTGGAGAGCTTTGCCATGCAGAGGCCTTGGCTGACCCCTGAGGCTCCGGGCCTCTTCCCCTGGCTGCCCGGGACATGGAGTCCAGTCACAGACTCAGGCTCTGCTAGCAGGACCAGGACGAATTCTTTCCTTGTGAGCACACCGTGGAAACTCCATGCCCACACCCCCACGAGGAAACAGTGAGGCAAGACTTAGATGTTTGTGTGAGTCCTTACACTGCTCCCAGCTAGAAATCTTCTAGAACAAAGCAAAGTGATTCTTGGCTAGCGCTGAGGAACCCTAGTGCTAGCTGCCAACTCACAGCTGATGGTCCACGTTTCTCCTGGGCATCCTTCACCCAATGCATACATACGCATACATACGCATACATATGCGCATATGTGCGCGTGCGCGTGTACACATACACACGCACACACACGCACGCACGCACGCAAACACACGTACCACTCACAACTCCCACCTCAAGCTACACACAGAACGAGGCCAACCCAGGCACAGGCGTCTTTTTGAGAAGCACCTTTGTGGCGCACCCACCCAGTGGCGGTAGGCCTGGTGATGCCACCCTTTACTAAAACAGACAGAATGAGTCTTAAGCCACTAAGCTAGTGACACAAAACACACCCAGGGACCAGGAGTGCACGGACAGCGCTTGTCAGGGCCTGCACTCACCAGCGCCACGCACCGCACATGCACCACATACAAGCCAGCCTAAAATTAAATCAAATCCCAGCGCTGCACAGAAGTTTGAGGGAGGGGTGCCCCCAAATCCTTCTGTGAGGAGGCGCTGCTCAGAGACCCAGAAGATGAAGAGGCTCAGCCATAGACGATTGCACAGGAAGAAGGGAAGGACCAGTTCCTATGACAGGTGCAAAGGTCCTCAAATGCAGGCCCTCCCGGCTGAGTGGAAGGAAGGAGAAAGTAGTGGAGATGAGGTCAGAGAGCTGGGCGAGTCAGACCACATGGGGCCTCCTGGCCAGGAGTGAGCAGAAAATAGCGGAACAAGAATTGTGAAGAAGTTGGCACTGGTGGCTTACACCTGTAATCCTAACTACTTAGAAGCTGAGATCTAGGGATCCTACTTCAAAGCCATCTAGGGAAGGAGACTTGATCTCCAATGAGCCAGAAAAAAGCTGGATGTGAAGCGGTGACACTAGTGGTTGAGTGCCATCCTTGAGCAGAAAGAGCCAAGTGAGAGCAGGAGGTCCTGGGTTCAAGCCTGTAGTGCTGGCACACAGACACACAGAGATACACACACACACACACACACACACACACACACACACACTCACACACACACACACACACACTCACACACACACACACACACACACACACACACACACACACACACACACACACACACTGAGGTGGCATCAGGTGCTGGTAATATCAGGTTCTAAGTAAACGAGGGAGCCAGAGCCCCGCCTCTGGGTAGGGCCTATGTCCAACACAGAGCCAGCAGCCTCAGAGTCTGAATCCAGCCCAGGATTTGTTTCCTTCCCAGGTGGAAATGGTGGAATGCCAGAACTTTCAAAGAGCAGGTGACTCTTGGAACAGCCCAGCCACTTAGGGGAAAGGAGGGTTCATTTTCTGTTAGGCCAGAGCCCCAAGTCCCCAAAGTCCCCTGTCAATGGGGGCAGGCGCAGGAAGGAAATTTGGCAGGGCTGTCAAACCCAACGTCTGACCTGCTGGGCTTGCACAATCAGGACTGCGTGAAAATAGCAAAACTAACAAGAAGATGGGTGGGGAAAGGGAGCTCAGTGGTAGACGGTTTGTAAGGGCTCTTGGCCAGCAAAGGACACATACACACAGAAAAAGAAACCCCCAGTAATCCTAGCTACTCAGAAGGCTGGGATCTGAGGATCACAGTTTGAAGCCAGCCGGGGCAAAAAAGTCCATGAGACTCTTCTGAACTGTGGCTCAAGGGGTAGAGCTAGCCTTGAACAAAATCTTAGGGACAACACCCAGGTCCTGAGTTTAAGCCCCAGGACTGGCATGAAAAGTTAGGAAGGAAGGAAGGAAGGAAAGAGGGAGGGAGGGAGAGAGGGAGGGAGGGAGGGAGGGAAAGGAATGGAAGTGATGGAAGAGCGAAGGCAGGCTGACTGGCGGTGGACTTGCTGGAGCAGGAGGGCTGAGGCCTGGCCCTGGCTTCCACCATAGCCCTCAGTACTGACTGAAGTCATTCTTACATCTCAGGTTGGACAGATTCAATAACAATGGCCTTGGCAATTAAAGCAGAGAAAACAGGAAAGAACGGAGACTCATGGTCAGACCCAGCAGCCACCAGCCATGAGACCAGCCCCAAACTGGGTGTTGGCGATCATGTCTATAATCCCAGCTACTCAGGCAGCAAGATCTGGGAATCCCAACTCAAAGACAGTCTGGGCAGAAAAGTCCAGGAGACTTTTATTTCCAATTAACCAGCCAAAAAAAAAAAAAAAATGCAGAAAGCAGGGGCGTGGCTCAAGTGGCAGATTGCCAACGCTGAGGGCCAAAGGCAGGAGAGCTGCAGGGCTGAGATCAAGCCCAGCACCAGCAGTAAAAGAAAAAAAAAAGGAGTTTCTCCAAGTTTGAGAAAGCTTATTAACTTGTTCAAGTTAATAATCTGACAGATGCAAACACAAAAGAACATCTAACTAGCCTCCAAGTCCCCTCCCCCGGGACTTTGACCTTTGGACCCCAGAAACAAGGCTCAAGCATTGGCCCTGGGAGCTCCCGCCTGAGGTGACAGGGACTTCCAAGGTTTCTGAAAAGCTCAGGACAGAGTCCGGTAAAGGCTCACCCCCCCTCCCGCCACGCCCCCAGAGTGGCAGGGACCCAGCTCAACCAGCTCAAGGGGAAGAGAAATAGGATTGGGGAAGAGAAATAAGAAAGGTAGAGGCAAAACAGGAATGCCAGGGTCTAAGGAAAGTTCCAGACAGAGGCCAAGGGGGAAGACACCCCTAGCATTTCCCTGGACTGAACTGCCCCTCAGCGCAGCCCCTGTGAAAGAACTCAGGAGGGCTTTGAGTCAACAGCCACCTGGTGCTGGTCTTGGCCCAGACTTCCTGGGGCCCAGAAGGGCTCCATGGTCAGCAGAGGCCCGACACTTTCAAAGTGTCAAGTGCTGTGGTGTTTGCTACCCTCAAATGGTTAATGAGGACTTCCCCAGGTTAGTCGTCAGTGGGTTGTGACGGCAATGGCGGGTGTGTGTGTGTGTGTGTGTGTGTGCGCGCGTGTGTGCGTGCGTGCGTGCGTGCGTGTGTGCGTGTGTGTGTGTGTGGGTGGGTGTGGGTGTGTGGGTGTGTGGGTGTGTGTGTGGGGTGTGTGTGTGTGTGTGTGTGTGTGTGTGTGTGCTTTCAGGCTTTGTGGTCCAAACCTCCCCCTCCCCCACCCCCACCCCGCCTCCTCCTCTCCCTGCCAGGCTGCTGACCCAGATCTTCACCCAGATCTGCCTTCTCTCCACTCCCCTGCCTTCCTCTCATGACTGGCCTTTCCTGATCTCTCTGCCCTCCTCTTTCTGGTTGGCCATCCTCTTGGCCCATTTAATTTCAGAATTATTTACTTCTTTCCCCATTAACCATCTTCTCACAAGACTATGGTCTCTCTCAGGGCAGAAGCCTTCCAAATCCTCAAGTGTTTCCGGTTTTTTCCTTGCTTCCCTCCCTTCTTCCTTTTTCTCTTTCTTTCACTCTCCCTCTCTTCTGCATGCCTGCCTTTCCTTCTTTCTTTCGTTCTTTTTCTAGCAGTAGGGCTTGAGCCCAGGGCCTCATACTCGTGCATACCTTTTTCACTCCAGGCTCGCACTCTACCCCTAAGCCACAGCTCCACTTCTGGCTTTTTGGGCTCCTGGATTTTCCTGCCACAGCTGGCCTCAAACCTCAGTCCTCAGATGTCAGCCTCCCAAGTAGCTAGGATTGCAGGTGTGAGCTACTGGCTCCTGGCTTCAGCCTGGAATTTTGTGTTCAATTACAAATGGACCTTTCTGCCTGGGCTGGGCTTGAACCATGATTCCCCAGGTCCAGTTTCCTGAGTAGTAAGGAGCCTCTGGCACCTGGCTCCCCTACCTTTTTGTCAATTTAAAAGACTTAAAAAGCTGGGGGGTACACGTGGCTCTTGCCTGTAATCTCAGCTACTCAAGAGGCTGAGATCTCAAGGTCATAGTTCAAAGCCAGCCTGGGCAAGAAAGTTTGTGAGACTCTGCCTCCAATTAATTGCCAAAAAGCCAGAAGTACAGCTGTGGCTCAAGTGGTAGAATGCCAACCTTGAGTGAAAAAAAACTCAGGGACAAGCGCCCAGGCCCTGAGTTCTAGCCCCAGGACCCCCACTAGAAACGAACTCACAAACAAACAATAACTATATGTATGTTATTCAACCTGGAGAAGGCTTCGAGGCCAAGCCCTGTCTAGCTCGCCCACCCTCGGCGCGGCAAGAGGCTGGCTCTGCCGTACCAGGCCCAGGACACTCACCTTGCAGGACGATGCTGGCGGCGCGGTAGAGCTGCAGATGGCACAGCAGGTCCAGCAGCTGCTGCACCGTGGCCTGCCGCATGCCCCACCACCACAGCAGCTCCCGGGTGACGCTGGTGCCCTGCACGCGCTCCAGGGACCGCAGCTGGCGCAACTGGGTCACGTCCGTGACCACCAAGGAGGCTGTGGGGTGGAGAGGGTGCGCTTAGCATGGGCGGGCAGCAGCTCCAGGACAGGATCCCACGCTGGCCCAGCCAGCCCTCCCCGCGGCCCGAGGGCATAGCCAGGGGACCAGGCTGGGAGCTGGCTACCAATGTGGGGGTGGCTGCTCCAGAGCGGAAGAAGGCAGACGCGTCCCCGGGGCAGAGGAGCGGCCTGGCGCTGAGCGAGGCAGGAGGGCCTAGACAAGCAGGTGTCACATCCAGGGCTCAGCCCGCCCAGGCAAAGCTACGAGGATATACCCCTGTCCTTTCCCTTGGGAGTCTGGCTTCCCAACCAGGTTGGGAAAGTGAGATTGGAACGGATGGAACCGCTGGTGAAGGAGCCAGGCCCGTGGGTGCCCTGCCGCCCTCATAGGGCTGAGACAAGGCTCCAGGGAAGTCCCGCCCCTCTCTGAAGTACTGAACAAAGTCGGCAGGGAACTACACCCCCACCCCCCACCCCCTGGCTCACGCCTGTCATCCTAATCACTCAGGAGGCTGAGATGGAAGGACTGTGTTCAAAGCCAGCCCAGGCAGGAAAACAGGACTCTTATCTCCAGTTAGCCATAAACAGCTGGAAGTGGCACCATGAGTGCCAGTCTTGAGCACACAAGCTCAGGGATGGCACCCAGCCCTGTGTGCAAGCCCTAGGACCAGTATAAAACCAGCAAAAACCCAGAAATCACAACAAAAAGCAGGCTCTTTACCTTCTTGCCTGGGATGGCCTCTACTTGCCAAAGTCAAGGTTTTTCTAGTAGACCAACAGGTCAAAGACCTTCTTAAGTGTTTAGTTTGGTCTGTACAGGGGCTTGAATAAGGGCCTCACACTTCCTACTCAGACACTCCACTACTGGGGCCACACCCCAAACCCCCAAAATAAATACTTTTTTGTTTTTTCAGTCATGGGGCTTGAACTCCGGGCCTGGGCGCTGTCCCTCAGCTCTTCAGCTCAAGGCTAGTGCTCTATCACTTGAGCCACAGCTCAGCTTCTGGTTTTCTGGTGGTTCATTGGAGATGAGAGTCTCATGGACTTTCCTGCCCGGGCTGGCTTTGAACCGTGATCCTCAGATCTCAGCCTCCTGAGGAGCTAGGATGGCAGGCGTGAGCCACAGGCACCCGGCAAAATAAATAAGTTTTTAAAAATGATAAAGCTAGCCGGGCGCTGACAGAGCACTAGCCTTGAGCTGAAGAGCTGAAGGACAGCGCCCAGGCCCAGAGTTCAAGCCCCACGACCGACAAAAAAAAAAAAAAAAGATAAAGCTTGGGTTCCAGGATTCTGGAAATCATGATGGGATCCATGTGAACATCAAGTCGTTCATTCATTCACTCAGCAAAGTCCTGCTCCAGGCCCTGGACAGCTCTAAAGATTCTGTGGGAGTCAAACAACACCTTAGGAGCCTTTCTGTCTGGAAATGTAAGCTGAGGCAGGGAGGCGATGGGAAGCCGGGCACTCTCCTGAGAGCCCCAGGGAGCTGCAGGCCAGGGAGGGCGGGCGGGCAGGCGGGAGGGACACCGTCTGATGGATGGATCAGAGGGATGAGGAAGAGCTGTCACAGGCTCCACAAGTGCCCTGTGGGAAATGGAAAGTTCCAGAGTTGCAGCTTTAGTCACTGGAAACCCCAGGCCAGACTCCTGGCCAGAGGGAAGTGATGTCAGTGGGACAGCGGACAGGAGTTGTTTTCACCCTGGAGCGGAGGACTGAGCAGAGAGGAGGCCCCTCCCCTCTGCCAGCTACCTGGGCGGCACTCAAGGCCTCACCCTGGAGACAGACCGGCCCAGGGCTAGGCTGGTGGCCACCCAGCCACCTTCTTCCAAGGAGAAACAGGAAGTGAATAGAGGGGCCTCCCAGTGCAACAATTTAGTTCCTTTTTTTTTTTTTTGTGATAATGGGGCTTGAACTCAGGGCCAAGGCAGGTACTCTACCATTTGAGCCATGCTACCAGTTCTCTTTTGTTTTAGTTATTATTTTTTTTTGGGGGGGGGACAGAGTTTCACATCATTTGCCCAGGCTATCCTAGACGGTGATCCTCTTACCCATGCTTCCTGCCTAGCTGGGATTCTACAGGCACACACTACTGTATGTGGCTTATTGGTTCAGTTGGGATGGGGGAGCAGGGAACTCTAGCTAGCTTTCTGCCCTGGCTGGTCTGGAACTATGATACTCTTGATCTTCACTTCCCAGGTCTGGGACTATGTCTAGAATTACAGATACATCTTTTTTTTTTCTTTTTTTGCCAGTCCTAAGGCTTGAACTCAGGGTCTGGGTGCTGTCTTTGAGCCTTTCTGCCATGGATCTACTTCCAGCTTTTCTGATGATTAATTGGAGATAAGAGTCTCACAGACTTTCTTGCCTGGGTTGGGCTTAAACTGTGATCCTCAGATCTCAGCCTTTAGAGTTACTAAGATTACAGGTGTCAGCCACAGATGTCCAGCCAGACATATCTTAACCTATTAACTCATCCCCTTGAGACAAGGTCAGGACAAGACAGAAGCTTTTTAGGGGGCTCAGTGTGTCGGGGGCTCCTGTGGAGTCACAGCTCCTTCCTCAACATACACCAGTCATAACTGGCCATTGTGGAACATTCGGAAAACGGAAACACCCAAGACAACGGCTGGTTCTCTGAGTCTCCTGTTCCCCACATTTTGCTATAGATCCAAAAGCATGTGTGTGTGTGTGTGTGTGTGCATGTGCACTCACGCGTGTGCGCACACATATGCTAGTTTGGACCTTAACTGTCCTCAAAAGCCCGAGTTAAAGGCTTGCACCAGAATTCAGTGCTGTTGTGATGTAATGTCTGCTATGTCCGTGTCTGATTCCTAAACGCTCCCACCTGTAATCCCAGCTACTTTGGGAGGCTGAGATCTGAGGATGCCAGTTCTAAGCAAGCCTGGGCAGAAAAGCCCATGAGATTCATCTCCAGTTAAGCAAAAAGGCAGAAGCAGAGCTGTGGCTCAAGTGACAAAGTGAAAAAGTTTTTGTGAGTGAAAAAGTCAAGTGAGAGTAGAAGGCTCTGAGTTCAAGCCCAAGGACCAGCACAAAACAAATAGAAACAAAACAGGGCTGGGAAGGTGGCGCAGTGGCAGAGCGCTTGCCTTGCATGCATGAGGCCCTGGGTTCGATTCCTCAGCACCACATAAGCAAAAAGAAAAAGAAAAGCCGGAAGTGGTGCTGTGGCTCAAGTGGTAGAGCGCTAGCCTTGAGCTGAAGAGCTGAGGGACAGCGCCCAGGCCCAGAGTTCAGGCCCCACGACCAGACCCAAAAAAAAAAACAAAAAAACAAAAGCCAGGTGCCGGTGGCTCACGCCTGTCATCCTAGCTCCTGAGGAGGCTGAGATCTGAGGATTGAGGTTCAAAGCCAGCCCGGGCAGGAAAGTCCAGGAGACTCTTATCTCCAATAAAATCCCAGAAAAAAAAAAATGGAGGGGGGCTATATCTCAAGTGGTAGAGCACTAGCTTTGACTCAAGTGGTAGAGCACTGGCTTTGAGCAAAAGGGGCTCAGGGACGGCGCCCAGACCCAGAGTTCAAGCTGCCATGTACACAATGCTTGGAACAATGCTAAATGAGGGTTTTTCACAATGTGTGACCACTGACAGCCATGCCCTCGGGGGGGGGAGGGGGGGAACCATGGCAGGGGCAGGGGGGGAGGGGGGGACCGTGGCGGGGGGAGTGGCATTAAGGGCCTAGAGACCGTACACTGCTCCATGACTGTACAAAAAACACTGCGTGTGTGCTCTTCATGAGGGTGGCCGTGCGCAGGGCCTCCTTCAGGAGTTTGCAACTCCAACTGGGCTGGTATGGAGAGAATGAGGCGGCTACCACAGGAGGCTGAAGCAGGGAGATCCTGAGTGTGAGGACAGCCACCCAGTGAGACCTTGCCTCAAAGAAACACACAAGAAATAAGCGTATGCCTGTAAGTAAAAATGTGCCATCAAAGAGAAGCAACTGTGGGGCAGACAGATGAGCAGGCATTTCGCGTGTGTGTATGCGCTGATGCTCGTGAACTGCTACGCAGGGCCCCAGCCCTTATTTTTTCTATAGAGTCTCCTTTTTGCCTGAGCCTCATGCCTAGACAGCAAGCTGGCTCTTGGAGGCTTCCCCCCATAGCTGTGATGACAGAAGGCCCCCTCCCTCCCTATTTTCCCATAGAAGTGGAGTCCCATGGGCCTTTCTGCCCAGGCTGGTCTGGAACCTTTAATCCTCCCAATAGCCTGGGATGATGGACAAAAACTACCATGCTCATCTATTGGCTGAAAAGGAAGTCTTGCAAGTAATGCAGTCTCCCGACCTCAGCTTCCCGCATGCCTAGATTACAATGCCAATGGCTTACTGGCTTTAAAAGGGCTTTGGAGGGGTTGGAGGTATGGCTCAGTTGGTAGAGCACTTGCCCATCAGTGAAAGCATTAGATACCAAGTTCAAGTTTGACAAAAAAAAAGGGGGGGAGGGGTCAAAACTTCAGCCCTGCTGATGTCATCAGCCAGGCACTGGCTTGGTGGGGGCCTGTCCTGCATGGGTAGATATTGCTGTTCACTTCCTCTAAGGTGCAACAGGCAGAAATAGCTCCTTGAGACCCTGACCGAGAACTACTAGGTTAGAGTAGATACTCTGTTCCACCCACTTGATGAGGACTGAACCCAGGGTCTTCCACACGCTAGGCAAGTCCTCTACATCTCCCAGCCTTTGTATACATACACACGTATGTACAAACACACATACAGGTATATATACATACATGTACATACACACGTAAGCATATATACACACATAGGCATATGCATACATGTATACACACCCGTAAAGGTATGTATTTATTTGTTCAGACTGTATTAGCAACACACACATTAGTTTTATATCTTTATTCTGTTTTGTCTTTTGAGATAGGATCTCACTATGTATCTATCCCAGGCTGGCCTAGAACTGCTCTCCATCCTTGAGTCTCTGCCTGCCCAAGTGCTGGAAATGTACAGAACTGTGCCATCATGCCCAGACTTCATTCTCTTGCTTACTTTTAAACTGTACGTATATATTATACTTTTTTGTATAAACATCTTACTTGATCATTTGTTTTCTTTGTTCTTTTCATTTTATGGTACTGAGAATGAAATTCAGTATTATTAGCTGGGCACGGGTGGTTCCTACTGTATTTCCAGCTACTCAGGAGATTGAGATCTGAGGATGATGGTTCAAAGCCAGCCTGGGCAGGAAAGTTCATGAGACTCATCTCCAATTAACCACCAAAAAGCCAGAAATGGGAGCTGTGGCTCAAGTGGTAGTAGGCTGGCCTTGGGTGGAAAAGCCCAGGGACAGTGCCCAGGCCCTGAGTGCAGGGGCCAGCCCCAGGGCCAGCGCAGAGGCACATGCACGCACACGTGTGCACATACGCACATCACACACACACACACACACACACACACACACACACACACACACACACACACATTATCTCTCTAAGGTGCTTGGAGGAAGCACAATTACCGGCTCCACTTCACAAACTGGGACCAGCCCTGGGAGCAGAGGCCTGGGAGCGGAGGCCCTGGTGTTGGAGGCCCGGGAGCGGAGGCCCTGGTGTTGGAGGCCCGGGAGCGGAGGCCCTGGTGTTGGAGGCCCGGGAGCAGATGCCCCACACAACCACGGGGCCAAACAAACAGGAAAAACGTCACGGGCCACAATGCCGTGCGTTCTGATGGAACCAAGGGCCGGGTTCGAATCCCGCCCCGCCGCCCTTCGCCGTTCCGGGGTAGGGAAGGCCTGGCGTGGCCGGCGGGGCCGGGGCCGGGGGGGGGGGGGGGGGGTGGGGGGGGCTCGCAGGGCCGGTCCCACTCTGGACAGGCCGGGCCCGGACCCCGGGGATCGCAGGGCCGGGCCGGCCGGGGCCCGGGCCCGCACTCACCGAACCGCATCCAGTCCCACTCGCTCAGCGTGTCCATGCTGCGGCACAGGTCGTCCAGCACCCAGGAGGGCAGCTGGTAGATGTAGCAGGCCATGGCGGGGCCGCGGCGACTGAGCCCGCCCGCGGCCGCTCGGGCTTCGCCACCGAGGGGCGGGCGCTGCGGCCCGGCGGCCCCCGGCGCCCCCCAGCGGCCGCGCGCGGCAGCGCCGCCGCCCCAAACAAGCGGGCCCCAGGCCGACCCCACTCCGACTCCGGCCTGGCGATCCCAGCGCCTCCCAGCGGCCGCCCGGAACACGCGGGCCCCAGGCGGACCCTACTCCCGGCTCCAGCCAGGCGGCCCAGGCGCCCCCCAGTGGCCGCGCGTGGTAGTGCCGCCGCCCGGAACACGCGGGCCCCAGGCGGGCCCAACTCCCAGTCAGGAGGCAGAAAGTCAGCAGGCTGCTGGTCACAGCCAGGAAGCTGGGCATGGTAGGACACACCTATCCTCCTAGCGAGGTGGGACATACAGTCAAGGCCCAGGAGGACAGAAACAGCAGACTAAAATGGCAGGATTTATGCAGCATCACAGCTGTGGGAAAACCAGTGCTGAGTGACGTCTAAATATGCGCAACTCCTTCAGCAACTGGACAGGAAGGGACAGCAGTTCATCAAAAAGGGGAAACAGCCCCTCCCACAGTTCAGCGATCTTTTATTTCCCACAGTATCTAAAATCTCTAGATATGGCTCGCAGACCTCCCAGTGCTGGAAAGGAAGCTGTCATTTACCTTCACTTGAAATAGAAGGTAGGTGCCTGTGGCTCACACCCGTAATCCTAGGAATCAACCCCAGGGCTTCATGCATGCTAGGCAAACACTCTACCACTAAGCCACATTCTCAGGTCCTGTAATCTTCCTAACTGTGCTTCCCCATACCCCTGGGAATGACCAACCACTGCGCCTAGCCATTGGTTGAGATGGGATCTGAGCAACTTCAATGCCCGTGCTGGTCTCTACCTCTCGAGTAGCTAGGATTACAACTTAAGTCCCTCTATGCAGTTCCCTTATTTTTTGTTGTGCCAGTCCTGGGGCTTGAACTCAGGACCTGACCCCTGTCCCTGAGCTTTTTTCACTCTTGAGCTACAGCTCCACTGTTTGATGGCTAAATATCTCATTAACTTTTCCTGCCCTGGCTGGCTTTAAATTGTGATCCTCAAATCTCAGCCTCCTGAATAGTAAGGATTTATTTTAGTATAACATGGTTAATGTAGAGGGAAATGGAAGAGAAATATTTGAGAAATATTTCTTGCTCCCTTCACAGGAAGTGGGTTAAAGATTCCACAGGGCTAGCACTATCTACAGCTTATACTGCCTGAGCTGGGTAAACACGAGTAGTCAGGTCATTCTAACAGCTCCTAATTGTCAGACAATGATTTGGACCAGTGAGTGAGGCCCACAAAACCCAGCTGACCCTCACGACTTCTTCATGTCAGGCTGCTATTCCTTCCTCTTCATTCACAAGCAAGAAGGTTCCAGATTTTTTATCATGCAGAGAAAGATTTAGAGACCCCCTTGGGTCTTTTAGTCTTATAATTTAACATTAAAAAGGAAATAAGGACTGGGCTCTGGTGGCTCACACCTATAATCCCTAGCTGCTGGGATCTGAGGATTTTGGTTCAAAGCCAGCCAGAGCAGAATAGTCCGTGTGAGATTCTTACATCCAATGAACTACTCAGAAAAAGCGGGCAGTGATGCTGTGGCTCAAGTGGTAGAGCACTAGTCTTGAACAAAAAGAAGTTCAAGGACAGAGCTCAGACCCTGAGTTCAAGCCCCAGGATCAGCACACATGTGCACACACGCACACACACAGAATAAAAGAGAAAGAAAAAGGAACATCTGGAGGAAAGGGGCTTACCTGCTTTTTCAGTCTGCTTTGAAACGAGTCTGGCCCTTTGGACATTTGTCTGGTCTGTCCATTCACCCTGCCTCATCACACCTTGCCTCGCTCCCCAGAGCTAGTGGAAGCTCAGGCCAACGTCTATATCGCTAAGGGTGGCTGACATGTACTGAAGTCTACCCCAAACGAAATCTCATTTTCCTGCCCTTCACCATGTTTGTTTGGAACCTAGGGGTGAGCACCTGGTCCTAATATGAAAACCTCCTGGAGTTTGGATCTGGGGTCTAAAAACCTAGTTTCAGGGTCACAGGTGTGCACCACTAGGGCTGTATCTAAGATGCAGGTAGCCAGTCTGAAAGTATCTGGAACGTTCCCTACTGGTGCTGGTGTGTGAGAAGGCCAAGGGCTGGTACGTGCTTCCTCCTCCCCCATTCGTGTGGCGCTGGGGTGGGTATGAGGTGGGTGCAGCGCGGGAGCTGCCCACACCTGGGCATGCACTCTAGCTACTTCTGAGCGGCACTCTACCATTTCTTCTACTTTCCTCACATAACTGCCCAGCACCCAGTACTGACCACTCCCTTAGCACCGTCCTGTAGTGCTTACATTTTCTTTCCTTTTTTTTTTTTGTGGGGGGGTCCAGTCGTGGGGCCTGAACTCTGGGCCTGAGCGCTGTCCCTCAGCTCTTCAGCTCAAGGCTAGCACTCTACCACTTGAGCCACAGCGCCACTTCCAGCTTTTTTCTTTTTGCTTATGTGGTGCTGAGGAATCGAACCCAGGGCCTCAGGCATGCAAGGCAAGCCCTCTACCACTGAGCCACCTTCCCAGCCCCATTGTGCTTACATTTTCTTATGGCGACATTTCATTTTTTTGGTCAGTCGTGGGGTTTGAACTCTGGGTCTGGGTGCTGTCCCTGAGCTCTTCAGCTCAAGGTGAGCACTCTACCACTTGAGCCACAGTGCCACTTCCGTTTTTCTGGTGGTGAATTGGAGATGAGTCTCCCAGACTTTCCTGCCTGGCTGGCTTTGAACTGCAATCCTCAGATCTCAGCCTCCTGAGTAGCTAGGATTACAGACGGGAGCCATCAGCGGCCAGTCATGACATTCCATTTGTATAATAAAACTAACACGATGCTAAATTTTAAAAAGAAAACACAACAAAATCTGGGGCTAGAAATAGAGACTTAGAAGGAGGCTCATCATTCATTGTCAGTTTTCAAAACTCCCAAAAGAAAGAACAGGATAAAACAACACAGAACACCTTGTTCCTTTTACTTAGCACCATTTAATGTATTAAAGAAAAGCTCTAAAATATATAAAAAAAAAAACCTCAAAACAGGAAAACAAGTCTCTTAAGAACAATTCACATAATACATTCACAGGATTCCAAATGAAAGGCATACAATTCCTGCCCTAGGTTTTCAACCTCCCTTGTCCAACACAAAAACAATTTAAACCACAGATTTTTGACAAGATAAATTGAAACTCTTGTTTAAATACAAAAACAGGTTTTTCCTGTTGCATTTTTTTTTTTTGGTAAGAGTCCGAGACACTATGTAACCCAGGCTAGCTTTGCACTCACAATCCTCCCTCAGTAGAATTTTGCGTGTGCGTGTGTGTGGGTGTGGGTGTGGGTGTGGGTGCGCACACGTCCACATACTGGTTTTGGGATTTGAACGGAGGGCTTAGGCACTGTTGCTGATCTGTTTTGCTCAAAGCTAGTGAATGCTCTACCACTGGAACCACGGCTCACTTCCAGTATTTATGGTAGCTAACTGGAGAGAAGAGTCTCCTGGACTTTCCTGCCTGGTCTGGCTTTGAAACAAGATCCTAGACCTCAACCTCCTGAGTAGATAGAATTGCAGATATGAGTTTAAAATGGTTTCTAATAGCCAATTCATGCTATCAATGTTGAAAAGGAGGACTGAAGTTGGACTCTGAAAAGTTAATGGGGAAACCGGACAGTGTTTCACTCACTTTACTTTGATGAGTGTTGCACCTAGAATAATTTGCCCAGAAATAACTCACCACTAATCATAAAAGAAAACCATTTGTATTTATGAAAAGCTTATAACATGGGAAAATTGTTACAAAGTTAAAAAATTAAAAAATCATGTACACTGTGTGATCTCAACCAAGTAAAACCAACTAATCAAAATATGCCTACAATAAGCTAAAAGAAAAAGAGTACAGAATACAAACAATAGTTGTACTTAGGTAGCAAATCTGCTATGATCCTTCTCTTTTTGGCAACAGGGTTTCTCTGTGTTGTGCAAGCTGGTCTCATTTTCAAGATCCTCTGGGCCCTTTCGGCCATGCCTCTCCATCCTGCACTGCGGGGGCAGCAGTTCCAGACCATTTTTCCAAACAATGGAGCAAAGAGCAGAATGTTCAAAAACCGACCAAGATATACAAAGTGGCGAACACCATCACTCTGGCTATTCATCTGACTTTGACACTACATCACAGTCTTCTGGGCAGTATTCTCCAGTCAGTCCTTTGTTTTGTTTTTTTTTGTCAGTCGTGGGGCGTATACTCTGGGCCTAGGCACTGTCCCTCAGCTCTTCAGCTCAAGGCTAGCGCTCTACCATCTGAGCCACAGCACCACGTCTGGCTTTTTCTGTTTATGTGGTGCTAAGGAATCGAACCCAGGGCCTTATGCACGCAAGGCAAGCGCTCTACCACTGAGCCACCTTCCCAGCCCCCCAGTCAGTCCTTCACATACAGATTCTAAGGAAACAACTGCTAAAAAACAAGTATGAGATAACCAAGTGCGTCAGCCAGAAACAAAGCCCTGAGGCTGTACACCAAACAAAAAGGGCAGCCGAATGGAATTTTGCTCCCAGAGTCTCAATAGAGAGCCACTATGGAAAAATCCTCATCTTTTTACAAAACGCTTTCTCAAAGACAGCCACAAATCAATGACATGCAGAATGAAGTATGCAAACTCCAGGTCAAGTCAGCTGAGCTGCTAAAAGAAAATAAGGCTGTGAAAAAGCTTCAGTACAAACAGGAGAAAGCTCTGAATAAGTTTGAAGATGAAAATGAAAGTGCTCGACTTATACTTTGCCATAAAGATGAGATTATAGTACTCAAAGAAGACAACAAAATCTCAAGAGAAAAGGCAGCCATAGAGAACAGAATCCAACTATTTAGGATGAACTATTTTAGATGAACTATTTAGGACAAAATTTTCCTCACAAGAACTGAAAATGATCCCAAAAGCCAGACTCCTGCCTAAACGAGATGATTTGGTGAAGAAGCTAG